TTCTGCTTGAACTGTGATTATATTTTATATCATATAATAATATGATACCTTGGTTCCATTCATGCATTCAGTTTTTTACTATTTATTTAAAGTATATAAAAGCGACACAAGACGATGTGACATAAGATATAATTGAATAAAATGAACTAATAAAGATTACAGCACAGGTACATTTACTTTAAACTAATTAAACACTGGCACAGTTCACATTGAGTAGATTTGAAAGGAAGAGAGGTGGCAGTGCATCTACAATTTAGACTATTTGACAAGCACATCAATCTGAAAAGAAATGTGATTCATGTTGTTATCCTAGAGAATAATCAAATATGTTGTTATTAAATCAGAATGCAGGCTCAGCCATTGAGCTGTAAGGAAACACCCAACTATAATTATTCCAAAAGCTCCATGACATAAACGTACTTCTCCAGTTCCTACGCCCACTTTACGCTATTGACAGAATATACATTCATCTACGCACGAGTTTGATCAAATAAATCTGGCACACCGGGTACAAACCAGAAAGCTGCTCCCTGTTTCAGGCGTTTGACGTATTGATTTAATTAGCAATTGGAGGCAAGGAGCCCACACGGCTTCTAATGCACCATAAATCCACAGGATTAAAGCAGCGCTACAGAGGAACGCATTAAGAGGGGAAATAGTGATTTATGGATATCACTGGCAAAAATTACCAAGCCGGAGAAACATAAACGACTCTTGTACATCCCCCTCCAGCCGCTCCGTTTCCCTCTCACCAATCCCCTTTGTGACTTGACATCTTCACAAAGGTCCAAGACTGAACTCCTCTTCCCTCCTCATCTTCCTCGGTGTGTGCTGGTTCACATGTTATTGCACATCCATGTTTTCCCCGGCTATGCGTATGAAGTCAACGACCCCCGCGTGATCGCGTGGCCTCCGGGACGAGTCGTCGCCTGGCAATCGGCTCGCGTTGACACCCGTGATTTGAGGCCTCTGGGATTCACGTCCCTTGTCGTTGTTTACTTGATGTCAGGATTTATGATCGAGGGCACCGATCGGACACATGCTGCGGATGTCAATGTGCTGGCAGCAGGAAGTGAGAAAATAGTCTTTGCTGACCTTTCTACGAAGCGTCAACAGGTCAAAGTTTTCAATTATTCTGTGAAATATTGTTTTGGTCAGGAGGTCAGGAGAGGAAAGGGGAATCATTTTTTGTGGTCGTCACTTCTTGTCTTACGGACGGCGATGGGCTTTAGTCTTTGCTACACACGTGTCCCCCGCAGGAAGATTTGTTTTCAGTAATCCTTCTCATCTTTCTCCACCATCTGGTCAGTTTTATAGTTCTGTGGTTCATGGCTGTTTCCATAGAAGCCAAGCTGCTGCTGCTGCTGCCTGGTTGCTAAAGAATGTGCGCTTGTTTGCTGATAACGAAGGCCATGGAGGATGAATTTTACATTCTGGAAAAACCATTCCGTGTCCCGGAAGGTGGGACGTAGCTCTTTGAGCTTCTGCAGAGACCCGAAAATGCTGAGAATCGAATTGGGGGAAAAGGTTGGAAGGTGTCAGGAGCATTTTTTAAAGCATGAAAAAACATGCGGACACATCCTTTATTTAGGAGGAGAAAAGTTTGAGAACATTTCTTTGACAGCGGCTGCTGGGAAACTCACTTTTGAGATTTTCTCCTCAAACAGATCTCAGAAAATGTCTTTCTTGTGAAAGCTTGTCACACAGTGCTGGAGAAAAAAACTTGCTTGACTGCCAAATGGATTTAGATGTCACAATTCAGACGCCCGCTAGTTCTCAAAGCAGAGGCAACCTCTTTTTTGACCCTGTCACATTTTTTGAAACATGTTTGAAAAATGTTGCTTTCTTTCCAGCAGTTTTTTGAAGCAAGAGAATGAATCATTTCCCAAAATGTTGAACAATCCTTTAAGAAAAGATGCTCCACACGAGTGTTTTCCCTTCTGGACATGCACAATATGTAAAGGCATATGATTTGACACATAAAAGCACTTTATTTACTTTAAGAGGAAGGTGACAACTTTGTGTGAATACTGATGTTGTCTGATCAGTGGCTCCGGTGCTCTCGTGCGTCTCTGTGACAACACAGTGCACTGTTTATGTATTTGGGCTGGTGGGAGCTCTCACGATGACTCACACTCCAGGGTGAATGATGACGGCCATTTTTCATACAGCCATGATTGATCAAACACTAAATAGAAAAAGACAGCTGCAACAACAACACAAGAGTGCCGCGTGTGGGACGAGTGGGTGTGTAACGTTTGCCTGCTTCGCCTCTCATATGGCACAGCGAGGTGGAAGAACTAGCCGCTCGTGGAAGAAAATGGTTTTGTATCTGAACTGTGAAGGAGAAGAACGAGAAGACTTGAAGACAATGAAGAATGCCTTTGAAGATAACGCAACTTTGGAATTGTTCACGCGTGTACCCGTGACAAACGTTCTTCGTATCGCACCCAGACTCTCGTGTTTGTTGAAACGCCGATTTAAAAAGCGATACGTGACAAGGACAAGGAGGTCGGGGAGTTAGGGATGTCCAAACAATAAGCTGCGTGTGTTGGTCTTTGTTGGGAACATCCGCCTCATTCTCATCTGGCCTCCCGAGAGAGAATTCCCGGCCGGCTTCTTCCTCTCTCGTGCGTTATTATTTCCGTGTGTGAGAGTCTGCGCGAGTGCAAAAACCTCCAGAGGAAATGCACTGAGGCCTGCAGAAAAAGGCCAAGTCTCAGCAGAGAGAGAGAGAGAGAGAGAGAGAGAGAGAGGGGGGGAGATGGAACAGGAGGCTCGGATGCTTACATAACAGCCTCATTAAGGGGGTCGGTATCTGGCCCCTGTCCACAACCCCTGCTCCCAACTATCAGCATGACCTGATCCCACAGCGAGGGCACAATCCTGGTCCCCGGAGAGTTCTTCAGCTGTGCTACGACGCTGCGTCTGGCTGCTGGGGGGGGGGGGGGGGGGGCGCTTGACTTGAGCCACTGGTTTATGTAAACGGATTTCTGTGCGGATAAATATTTAGAAGTCTCCCGGCTACCCCGCTGCCTCCAACCAGCGGCGCGCCGGCCTTACATTCTGGTCACCCTCCAAAGTCCGGCTTCAAAGGGGGCCGCTCCGGGCCGTCTGATGTGAGTCGACGATGTGTGGTTTTCATGTCTGGGTGAGATTGAAAGAAAGAAGAAGAAAGAAAAAAAAAAAAAGCGATAAGGAGGGCCATTAAAGGCCCAAGAAGGAGAAACCCCAGCGTCCCCGGGGGGCTTCTTGGCCACCGGTAGCAGCGGCCTCGTCGACCTCGCACGGAGCCTGTATTTATAGAGCGCTGTAGATGAGTCATTTGGCCCGGTGCCCACTCTTCGTTCACCGGATTTACAGGTCCCCACTTTGGGGAGGGCTGCTTGATTTACGACACGGCCCTCCCTCCCCCACCCCTCTCCCTTCCTGCAGAAACCATCGTGCCTGCGGCTTGCCGTCTCACTCGGGTTCCTTTTCGGGGCTGCTCCCTCCCTCTTGCGTTGAGAGAGACGCTCCCTCGGCTTCCCCTGACAGAAGCACGCAGGCGGAGGAGAGGCGTCGTCCTCGCCTCCGGCCCCCGACCCTCGCCCGAGTGCCGCTGATCGGTGCGTCTCCCCCCCCCCACCTTGACCTGCCTGTTGACTGGTCGGAATGGAGTTTCGTGCGAAAGAGTTCTAGTTGCAAAGAGGAAAGCGAGAGTCAAAGGACGGCGGGGAGCGGTGGCGTGGAGAGAGAGAGAGAGAGAGAGAGAGAGAGAGAGAGAGAGAGAGAGGGAGAGGTTTCGAGCAGAAACAGAAGGAGCTAAATTTATCTGTGGCCCCTGAACGAGAACAGATGAAGAAGTGGCGCCGGGGGTCCGTAGGTGAGCAGCGACAGCAGCGGGGCTTTTGCTCCCTCAACCTCCGGCTGAGAAGGGGGCACGTCTTCCTCTGCACCCCATGGATCTTAACTCCAACCCAGGTCCGTCTCTCTGCGTAACAGTAAGGAACACTGACACGTTTGCACCTGGTTTGGAATGACAGGCAGGGATTATTATTAGACTTTGCGGTGTTACGAGTTTCAGTTCCGACTGGAAGAGGAGGCGAACGGAGTTCTCGGGGCGGCTTTACTTATCTTGAAGCTGACACTCAAAGATAGATGCAGTTTTGCGAATGACTCTCTGTTCTCGTTGGGAAAGTATCTTTCCCTGATGCAGTCCGTTCATCATGTCAGCAGCTTGTATTCTTTGCAGCTGTGATATCAGATTACCAATTTATGATGCTTGCATTCCTATTTTTGCTGGCGGGGTCACAGCACTGCAGGTTCCTTTTATTTGTACACAACAGCAACATTTGCAGACTTGCTCTGTGACTGAGAGTTTTTTTTTTTAGCAAAATGGTTCATTTCATATGCAATAATATCTTTTAATAGTGGGACCTTTGCCTTGTTTCGCTAATTAAACTTTTTTAATTAATTAATTAGTTTAACATTTTCTCATTGAATTCAAGGTGTGTTCAAATTTTGGACTGGTACTGTACATATTGTATATTTATTGTATCAATGCGTTATTTGCAGTACATTGAAAACGAAAACTAAATACAACGTTTAGCAATTATTAAGCTAAGTATTAAGCAAGACTGACTTAAGACAGAAATAATGAGAATGGGATTGAACCATCTGTGCCATTGGAATAACTTTTGAGGTCATATAAGTAGTTAAATACCAACAAGACATGATTGTGTGTCGCTTTTAAAAAAATCTTGCCAGAGAGAAAAAAAAATCCATTCTCAAAGCTGGAAAACACTTTCTCTGCACGCTTGTGAATTCATGGGACTCAGGCCGCCCCCAAATCCTTTGTGGCAAAGAAGTTCTCAGGCAAACATCTGCGGCAACATGCAAGAAAGGAGGAATGCTGTGAATGAAACAGCAGAAGTGAGATTTCAAGAATCCTTCATGGAGGCGAAGAGGAAGGAGAGAAGAGGTGTTTTACAGGCTTTGAGGGGGAAGCATTGAATTGGAAACATATTTCATTTCTTGCCTGCAAGCAGCGGATAAAAGAGCATAAAAGTAAATGATTTTCGGTGAGCATATACCCATCGCTGTTATTCTGATGGCATTTAGCTTTAATATTTGACTACAATGTTAAAGAGATCCGCTGTGTTGACAGGGTCGGATGGGGTGATACCAAATGATTGTGAATTCACTGCTTTTCGTAGCCCGACACGATAACCTGCTGGATCTTCGCCGCGCGGTAATTGAACAACTGAAAAGAAACTGCGGATTAAAATGCTACATTAAGCGATGATAAATCAGCGCGGTGACCGGGCCCTGCAGTGGATGACGGCCATGTTTCATCTCCACGAGCGCGGCTCCGAGCTGAGAGAGCCGGCCGCTAACAACATCGGCTTACAGTTCAGCAGCACACAAAGGGCCCAAAGTCCACGTCAGCATTTCTCTGTGCCTCCACTTAGATCACAACCAATCTCTTCCCCCCGGCGCCGCTCCGCCTGTAGCTTTGTCAGAGAAAACAAGGCGGACGCGGTGCCGGCGAAGCGGACGGGGCTGCTGCCGCGGAGACGGAAGCGCGGGATTGTCGCACAGTTGACTCTTCTCAGCCACTGAGACACGACGGGAAGCGGCGTCTATCTGCTCTCCATCGACAGCGATATTCACCTCTGACAGGCCATGGAATCTCCTGAAGCAATCCAGCAAATGAGAAGGTTGATTAATGCTTCCATGACGCATAACTAGTGTGAGTCCATCTTGAAATGACTTCAAGGGAATTTAAATCAAAGGAGGCATTTGTCTTTGCATCTCGCTTGGCAAAGGTCTTTATCATCCAGCCAGACAGAAATCACTTATTTCCCCCTTTTTTGATCCTTCCTGGTTGCCGGTTCCCTTTGGTTCTCACGACGAAAAGAGGGAATTTGTAGAGAGGCCGCAACAATAAACCAGAAGTCCGCTTCCAATAACCCTGTGTGAAAGGTTCAAACGGTTTTCCCAAGGCCGGGCTCACTCAACCTATCAATTTTAGCTTCGGGGAGTGCAGGTGTGCATCTGGCCCGAAGCCCTCATCAGCGCTGAAAGGTGATATTAGCAGGTATTAGTGAGCCGAGCAACAGGTACTTAGTCAAGTCCACCACTTGTTTCTTCTCGGGTCGGGCCGATGGGAGGTTCAGTCCCTTCCCGGAGTGCCAGGAAGCTTGTCTGCGTCTATTCCCAAGTAATCAAGCTGTATGAAGCCTCGCAGCGACAACATCCTGCATCAAAATCAAAACAAATTTGGATGCCGGACAAACAACGGTTTGTTTTGGGTCACCGAGGAGGAATTCAGATCTACAGTCACACGGCCGCGAGTGGATGATACGCACGCATCACACGCAGAGAAACGCAGAGAGGACAGAAGGTCAGTGAGAGATGTGCATTGGGAGCTTTAGAGGTCTGACCGTTTTCTCTCGGATACGTACGCGCTGCAGCTTCCTGTGGAGTGTCTGCTCGTATCACTGATGTAACGTTTTCATCCAATCAACCTTTTCGCGTGGCCCAAGTCTTCAAGTGGCCCATTTAGTCAACGTTTTCCAGTGAGAAATTAAAGGATCATTCTAGGGTAAATTTTTTAAGCTGGCTTTGCTTCATGCAGCCTTTTTCTGGGGTAAACATTGTTTTGTTTTTTTCACATTTACTGCCTGAAAGCCGCCGGTTTCTATTTCAGTGAAGTGTAAACACCAACTGGAGGTTCTTATCTTGTCTGAGTTGAATCGGAAAGAGAAAAACACTGAAGATTAGCGATGCTATAGGTTTTATATAAAATGTTGAATGAAACAGAATAAAAGTCAATCTCGTTTTTTATCCGTCACATCTGTATCGGTTATCATGTTCCGACGCAAGCTGTGGAGCTGTGCAGGTGGCAGGACACACGGACACAGCTCTCTCTATGAGGTCCGCATGTAGTCAGACAGGAGGCCCCCTCTGTCGACTCACCCACCTCCCCCCCCGGTCTGTCTTCATGACAACTCATTGAAACCCTGTTCACTCAACAGGTATCATGTTTGCCTTTCAGCGCCGGAGAATACAGAGAATTTAGAGTTGATGTCGACATTATTCTCCATTTTTTTTTCTTTTTCTTCCGATGCCGTGATTACCTTCCTCCCCGTGGGCGCCCGCAGAGGGACAGTAGAGCCAAACAACCCTTGTACCCCTTGACCTCCGCCCGGCCACTCGCTTTGTTCCTCACTCAGCGTCAGATGGTAATGGATAGCCGTAGTGACTCTTAGGACTCTTTGTCCCTCACCAGACAACAGCTAATGTCGTGGTGTCTGCCTTCAGATTATGCCCATGGACAGGCGAGGACCACCGTGACACCGGGGAGAGAGTTAGCCATCAGATACCTCACAGGGGGTCAGGTGGAAGTGGACACCCCCTTAGAGATACATGGGAAGAGACAGGAGAGAGAGAGAGAGAGAGAGAGAGAGAGAGAGAGAGAGAGAGAGAGCATACACCTGCATGACTAATGCATTTAAAGTTGTAATGAGAGTTTATTCTACTATTTGATGTCCATTTGATAACATTTTACATCCTTGTGGATCATCTTAACAAGGAGCGGATAGTTTTAGTTTATCATTCTTTTGACTGTCAAGGAATCTGTTAAAATTCAAATACATCAAATTGCCAATGATTCCAAGGCAAAACATATTTGGGGAGGAAATTTCAGAAGCAGCGAGCGAATGTTTCTGTTTTTGCTCACACATTTTTTGGATTGCAAAAAAACTAGTTTCCAGTCGATCAACCAGTTGATTAATTTTCTAATGAGCTTATTCCTACTTTTAATAACTGTTGTAGTTTGACTTGTTTGACAGATTAACCAAATTGAATTAACTTCATTTAAGAGCACGTTTGAATATAACACTAAAACAAATGACTCGTAGCAACGGCATTATTAAAGTATTAAAATAATATCCTCTCTCACTACAACATGCAAAAAGCCAATATCGTGGCATCATTGTGCTGTAGACAGTTTGCGGCTGAAGACGTGAACAAAGCCCTGCCGTGTGAATGAGGCGTCCCGTGTTTGCGCGCGGGGGTCATGCCCAGTGTCAAACCGCTGGCCTGTTTAAACCCAAGCCTTCAGAGAGCTCTGCCTATTGTTACCATTACAGTTCTTAACAGAGGTATGCGAGTGTATGGCCGTGTGTGTGTGTGTGTGTGTGTGTGCTCCCCAACCCCCTCTTGAAACCTGCCCTCCCCTCCCTTTCTCTTTCACACCCTCTCAGCTGTGCTCACTCACTCACTCATTCTGAACAAGGCCAAAAAAGAAAAACCCTGGCAGAGCGGCTCCTCCGTCAGGAACCCGAGTCCTCAAGTAAACCCGGGGCGGCCCGGGGACTTTTCCCACACGGGCCGGCGCGGAGAGGAGAGACATGGAGATGCTTCATCGGGGCGATTCAAAGTTTACCCCAGTGCGGATTGTGTGATTTACGACCCTCGCGTCAAGGTAACAGTGAGTGTGTTCTTTGATTGTTTTGAGCCTGCTGAAGGGCTTCTATCTCTCCACTGCGACGCATCTTAACCACCACGGACTCCTTTGTTGCGCCAGCGGCGCTCGGGTGAGGGATCGGATCATCTGGAGGGGATGTTGCCCATAAATGAAGCAAGAATCGGTGCATGAAAAGTTTCCTCCATTCGTGAACCAAAGACAAAGGAAAAACCCAGTGTTTTTTTTGTTTCCCCCGTCACCGTTTCAGAGTGACTGCGCGCTCCGGAGGAGGTGTTTGTGATGCGTGTGAGTTCTGAGAAGACTATCATTAGACACAATATTGGATCTCAACTTGCCCCTGCATGCATGCAAACGAGAAGCCTCCCGCAGACAAGAGAGAGCAGACAGTGATGAGGTCATGTAATCTCCCTCTGCACACACACACACACACACACTGGGAGAGTTGTGGTGTATTTTTGTCATTTAAAGGTAAACAAGGCTTTTACTGTGTTTGCATTGTTTTCTGGGCCAGCAGCAGCTGCTTCCTCCACTTGGCAAGCAGCACAATCAAAGTCTGGAAGAACATTTTCACAAAGTCTCTCACTAGATGTTTTCTGCCTTGGTGGATACTGGCTATTTTCTTTTTTTTTTGAGGCCGCTGGTCAACACTGAAACGAACGGTTTTGGCTCTTGGACCCATCTTAGATAGTCATTATGACACGGCCATGACGGGGCTATAAATTATGGCCAAATTAGAGATAATTTGAAATCATGTCAAGTAGCCGGTGGTATGTTGCGGTTGTGTGAGAGGACATACAATTATTCATGAGGCGATGCAATGAAAATAGACATATGGGTTTCATTTTAGCAGTATTATTTCCTTAGTGTAAAGGAAGCTGCACACCGTTCAGAGGTTGATGGTGTTTACCGTTGGCGACATAGCATGATCCCGTTGGAGAACTTTCATTAAATAGCAGAAGTTGAGTGAACTAAGTTGGTACACGTCGGTAGTGTGAACAGAATCACAGTTGAAATGGAGCATCGCTTTCTCGTTGCCGGAACTTTTTTCACAAGTCCGTCTCAAGGTTAACAAAAGAATCCCGAGTTTATAAAAGTGAGGTTTGGGGTTTGGGGTTTGGGGGGCGTCAGGGGAATGGTGAAAGCTGTCGCTGTTGTCTCTTCAAGTGCAGTTGTGCTTTAAGTAAAGATCCTCAACCGTCTCCGGCAGCAAACCCTGCTGGGATTGGTCTCATTTAAGATGTGAAGCGTTTTATATTCATAGACACGGTGCCAGTCAGAGAATTTAGCGCTGGAGAAAAATGCCCACAGGCAGCATCAGCGCAGTCGGGAAAGAGTCTGTCGAAGGGGGGCCTCCAGTCGTTTCATTCAGCGGACAGATGTGGAGAATCTACCGACAGGAAACAAGACAATTTTTTGACCTAAATTATTTCATCTTCCTGCGTCTGTTGACCAACATCGGAAAGCTAATTCCTCACAGCAAAGCGACTTACTATCAGATGGTGATTTTACTCTGAAGACAAATGATCGATTGACTGGTCTGACATGAGGAGACAACGCTGCAAGCTGTCTGGGAATGGTGTGTGTGTGTGTGTGTTTATGATTAGGGCATGAATGAGATTCCAAACAATAAGCACTGAAATAAAAAACAACTTTTATAGCATTTGGCTTTGAAAAAAAAAAAAGAAGAACAATAGAAATATTTAGAGAAAATTGGAAGCAGGTTTGCGATCGTCCCACTTTTCATTTGTTAATGGCGCCCATGCCTTTCACAAACTGATGATTCAGTCGTTGAAGCTGCTTCTCCGGTAAACGTCGTGGCGGAGACAACTCACTCACCACAACCAGACAAAAAGCTTACGAACGGATTTCCATCCAACTGCTGCTCCCGATACTGGTTGTTTCTGGGACGTGTAAATGCAATGAAATTACCAATAATATCAGGTAAAGGGCCACAAATATGTACATCGGCCAAAGAGAAATGCGAAGCGACCTAATAAACAGCTGACCTGCAGTTTAGAAGCGTTTGCCAAGGAAATTGTCCATGTGCAGAGTAAGTTTGAAATAGCTCCCCGTCTCCATAAACACGTTGGACAATCCAGCCACTGTGGAAGAATGTTGAGCATCAACAGGAAATGTCATGGGGAGGGATGGGGGGGAAGGTGTGGGGGGTTTGGGGGGGGCAGGAGTATGTTGTAATAGCCATGGTATGCTGTATAATCCCGCTGCACGCTTGTTTAATAGCTTCACAGCCGTTGTTTCCAAGAGGAAACGCTGCCTCTCGCTGCGAGTAATGGAAACAGAAAGGGCTGAGTAGTTTACGATGTGGACAAAGGCACTGGCAGCGGCACCGGGGAACCACAACTGCTTTGCATGACAATTAATGTAAATGCTAGAAGCTTTTGTGTGCCAAACTGGCCAAATGTGCCGGACTGGTGTCCCTGTGGAATCCGATCCACTTCAGTGATCAGCACACGACCATTGACATTTTGAAAACCTGAGATTGTGGTGAAATAGACAGAAGGCTTCCTTAATCGATTGCACTTCACTGCTGTCCTTCACATTAGTAAACTATTAGTATCATTATATGGTGTTTGCCAAACAGATTTCAAACACAACATCAGTGGTTACCTAGATTTTCTACTTTTATAGTCAATAAATCCTAATCCTAGTTTTGCCCTTGTGGCCAAACACAACTTTTTCTTCTGTGTCCTACAACTCCACAATATATGTTTAATCAATACCTGTTTGAGTCACGAGAAACAACAGTGACCCAATTATTTTAATTGAAGTCATTCATAAAGATGGCAACATTTTTGTTTAAGGACGACTCAGATTTCTCTCTCTCTCTTACACACAGTAGCAACAACACATCGATTACCTTCTCCTCCAATATTTGAATCAGCCGATCGGTTTTGTGTTCGTCGGCTCGTTGGCGTGAACGTAAAGCGCGTTCCCGGGAGCGACGGGGCCGCGCGTCGATCGGAAGCTTTTGCGTTTCGCACGTTCAACAGTTGGCTCCGGGCGGGGAGGAGGAGGAAGAGGAGGAGGAGGAGGAAGAGGAGGAGGAGGAACAAAAAGAATGTGTTGCGCGTCGCAGGTTGCGGACGCCGTGATGTCGTCGGCGTGATCCCCGCGCTCGAGAGGTGAGCTGACGCCGACTCTTTGTTTACGTTTTAAACGTGGAAAAAGACATGGTCATGTGATTGACAGACGCCCTCGAGGCGCTTCTGAGCCGCGCGAGGTGTGATGATGATGTGGATGAGGAGGGCAAAGCCCGCGGGTCTCTAATGTCTCTAATGTGGGGGTCTTCAGTGAGGCATCGTCACCCGCTTTATCAAACATTCTTTAATCTTTGACTCTCTAACCTGATTTGATCGTGAACAGAAAATGGTATAGTTGCTGTTATTTAAAAAAAAAAAAAAGAACAACAAATCAAGTGGGAAATAGGCCCTTGATTTGTTTTACTGCTACAACTAATGGATATTTTCTATCAATCTCCTGGAAATGTTCTCAATGCCTCGTCTATAAAACGAACAACTGTATTACTTTAAGTGGGACAGGGAGCATTAGGTCTCCTTAAGACTGACGGAGAGCATCAATTCCAGTGTTAAAGTGGGGCTCCAGATTAAAATGCTGACAATTCAAGGTGCGTCTGGCTTTTTTCGCTTGTTCACATCTGGAAACTGTTGTCGGAGCAACAAGTCTTGAGACTCAAACCTGCAAATAATGATAGTGACGACCCATTTAAACAATGCCCATTCTGATGATTTGAACTGCGCATTAAAAACCCGCACGGGACTATTTGCACTGGTCTGCATCAGAAAACAGCATAAGTATCAAGTTTAGCATCATTCAACCTCATCAATTTTTCATATTGGTAAAGTGTCATGTTGTGTGGTAGCAGACTATAAAAATAGTTCATATGCAACACACAGATCTCAAACCTGGAAGAAAATCAATAGAGCAGGTTCCCTGGTGGTCAAAGCGATGAATAATTCAACGGTTGTGTGACACACCATTTGTCTCTTAATAGCTCGTCTCTAATAGCTCGTCTCATCCTACAATAGAGCAGGTGCATCCCTGCTCTGTGCCTCTGCAAACGGTCCGCTTGTCATAGTAACAGCCAGATTCGTTATGTGAAGCCGGTCCGGGCCGTATACGGTCCAATCTGTCACATGACAGCAGCGTGCTCGAGGGCCCTGAGATATAAACATTGCTCTTGATTTATTGCTGCAGGTGAGTTAAAAGCGTGTCCACAATCAAGTACATTATTGTGTCATCCAAGGACATTTGGAGTCGGTCCCTTGTCGGTTATTTTACGAGGTCAGACACTAAAGGTAAAAATAATGTTTTCATGAACTTGCTCATTCTGACGTCTGTGGTTTAGTTACCACTAGATAATGCCTCATTTCCATATTGAAAGACAACATTTCAATATGTCTTCAACTGTCTAAATGCAAATAATAAAATGAAGAGCTTTCCTGAGGAAAATGTTTAGTAAAGTATTGTCTGATGTATGGCGTGGTAAAAGATTCATCCAATATTCAGTTTTCTGTCCAAGAAAGTTACAACAAACTTACGTCTTAATATTAGTCATCATCGTGGAATGTTAGAATGTTTTTCCGTCTGCCCTGTAGTGTGGAGTCATCATCCGTTCAAAAATGTCCTTTGCTTATTGTTCACTTGATTATGATGTTTGAGTTTGATAATAAGGACGTTTTAACGTCCAGCATGTCTGAAAGTGGCCCCTGTCATCCTGTTACACGATACGGAGGTTTCTCCTGAAGATGTTAATACACAGATCCAAGCTGTTGGCCTCTACCTAGGATGTGCTAATCACATCTGTTTCTGTCTTGTTTCACTTCAGGGGGAGACAGAGAGCGGATGACAGCCAACCATGAGACCTACCTTCTCATGGCCAGCACCCAGAATGATATGGAGGATTGGGTGAAGACAATCCGCAGGGTCATCTGGGCGCCTTTTGGTGGAGGTCAGTGTGCGAGCACAACCACAGTTTTTGGTCTGCTGACCAACTGCCGGACTTTTAGTGTTTCCAGTAGCAATGCTGCTGTGGGTGTAGTCCTTTATATATCAGTAAATTAACTTAACTAAGCAATTAAAGTGCCTTGTGCACAATGATAATGGGTGTAACCTAAATCTGTGGGTCGTAATAGAGGCAGGATTTTGCAGTAAGTTCCATGTTACCGATTTAAAAAAAGGCTTTACTTTTTAGTAAAAGTAGTGAATTCTTCCCTGTATCAGTTGTATCTAAAACCAGCATGTTTCCGGCTCGTAAAGCAGCAGGTCGCCTCCTCTCTTCCCTTTTCACTCCATATGGTGGGCGTCCTGCCACGTGTTGGTTGCATTCACGGCGATGCTTCACCTCACCGTGACGCAGTCACATGCGAGCGGCGTCTGTGCAGCTTGAATTTACGCCCAATTTATGTCCACGTCATCATCACGCATGTCCGTCTCCTCTTCCATTCCCTTCCTTCACGTGCACAAAGGGCGTCGACGGGTTGAAATTAGTTGCGTGCGTCAAATAAAAAAAACCAAAAGTCATCAGGTGGGCCGCGATTCGTGGCTGAAGCGCGCGATGATGTCACCGTTGCCGGGGATCATCGCGGTGATCACCGAGGGCCCCCCCCCCCCCACCCACCAAACCCCCCGCTGCGCCGCTACGTCCTGCTATAGACTCCACTGGCTGACATTGTCCCACATTGTGTTCGAGCGGCGCAGACGTTGCAGCATTTGAAACCGGACACGCTGAATGGATTCGGCTGAGCCGCCCCCCCACCTCCCCCACCTCCCCCTCCTTCCCCACCTCCCCCACCTCCCCCTCCTTCCCCTCCCGCCCGTCTGTTTTCAGTTCAGGGAGTTTGATGTCCATTGCAGTTGACTGCTCTTCAAAAGGACGAGCCATTTGTCAGCGACGCCACAAGAAAAGTGGCTCCGCTCCAACACACACACACACACACACACACACACACACACACACACACACACACACACGGACGCACACACAGGCTCCCTCTCATTTTGCCGTTGCGGCAGAGACTGACTGAGCGCTGATTGGCCGGCCAGGTGCCCTTGAGGTGTGATTACAAACGTCTGAGTGGGAGAGTGACGGACAGGGAGGGGGAGCTCCCCAAATCGGAGCCGGTGTTTGAAGAAGAGCTCGGGGACCTCAAAAGTTTGCTGTCATGTCGCGCCAAACACTTTGAGTGATGTTGAATTAACTACCGGGCCGGCCGGGTTCGCAGACAACGTGGGACAAGAGACAGTTTGGGGTCATGTGCAGCTGTGGCCTCTCCATCTGGATCTTTGGAGACTTGTTTCATGGTAATTAGCAATCGGTCGTTTGTAAAAAAGTTCATTTCTGCTCTAGTTGGATTGATGCTGCGTAGAGAAATACTTTCCTGAAAGCTAAAACACGTTTTGCTTTCTATTTCTTGCTATGTTCCCGAGAGCTTATACGGGAGACAAAAAATGTCAGTCTGGCTTTTTGACGATCGACAGCAACCGACTTCACCCGACCGTACATTTCACTTTCAGCTTACACCGAAATGTACTGAGACGGGATGTTTTCCTGCCTCCTGTTTGTGGATCAGAGCTTCACGCAGTTTGTGACTTTTTGTGTCAGTGTGTATTCTGCACTCAGTTGAAGCTGTTTTGTTTCTCTCCAAGAATATTTAGCACTGTCAGCAAAACGTTAATATCGGTAAAATGTCACATATTTATTCCCCACATCACAGAAGAAGAAGGGTCAAAGACAGATAAGAAGCGGCAGAAAGGGAAATGTGCTACTGTGAGTTACTGTATGTAGGGACCTCTCTCCCCCTGTGTGTGTGTGTGTGTGTGTGTGTGTGTGTGTGTGTGTGTGTGTGTGTGAGGCTTGTTTTGCTGTCGGGTGGTTGCAGAGTGGAAATGTTGCTCTCATGTGCAGTTGTGGCACGAGCCAGCAAACATACATACAAACACATGCACACTGTTCATAATCGCCCCACACACACACACACACACACACACACACACACACACACACAGAGTCACATGTGACCCAGGGAAAACATTCCCAGGCTCATGACCAGAACGTCTGGAGGGATGACCTCATTTTCATCCAATCAATCACATTCTTTGATGCTCCTTTGGATACATGAGGATCTTTCTTTCCGCTGGTGGAGCTTGACGTTTTCGTTTTTTACTCAATCCAAGATTAGATTAGATTAGATTAGGAAACACAGCTTCAAATACTTTTTTGGAATTTGTGACCGTTTACATTTTTGCCTTATTTGTCTTGCAGTAAAGATTTGAGGTGGAACAGTTCCCAAAGCGACTGACCCTGAGGTAAAACACGAGAGGACTGAAGTCTTCTTTTCCCTTCAAAGACGATACGAAAGAAAAAAGAAAAATACGAGATCGAAATGGGGAAAATTAGACTGACCTGCTATCAAACTGATGCATCTCTGTTATCGCTGCATAGTTTTTGTTTCTTCTGCTTAAACCGACGCCGTGTGTGTTTTCTCATCCAAGCTTGTGTCGGTTTCAAGTGGGTGAGTGTGGGGCAACATATTTTCTCTATTTCGTCCATAAAAAACAACTTATCTCACAATAATTGAACTCCGCATTTGCATCCGTTTATCAGAAACGCTACCATCTGGATTCGCGCCACGTACCAATGCACCTGTGCAAAAATCGTGATCTAAACTACTTATTATGCACCAACAACAAATCGGTTCGGAAGCTGCATCTTGCTGTGTCGAATGCCGTCGAAAAGCATTCCAGTGAGAATGGTGCAACTCTGTCACCGCGCGGTACCTAGTCGTACCACGCGTGTGCATGTGTGTGCGCGTGTGTGTGTGGGTGGGTGTGTGTGTGTGAGTAGCCTCTGTCGGCCTCTGGAGACCGGAAAAGAATGCCGATCCAAATCTCCTGGCGAGGCTGCCTTAATCCGTTCTTGGAAATCAGTCTCCTCTTTTTTCTTTTCTGTTTTTTTTTTTTTTGCGGGTACTCCCTCAGACAAAAGAGCGGAGAGGTCAGAGATTTGATCATCAGACGAAGGCTTTGGGGGTGTACATATTTTCTGCTTGGACTGTCTAGCCAGTCTTATCAGAATTTCTTTTTCAATCAATTTAACCGCTCACTTTGATGTGCCTTAAGCTGCAGATGCAAGGCTGTAGGTTTTTTCGTTCTTTGAAGAACGCTGTTTCATCCTTGGGGTAGAAAGTTAAATTGTGCAGGATATAAAATGAATTAATATTTCAAAGGTAAAACTGTCATTTAATAATACTTAAAAATGATTCCCTAATTGATTTAGCTTTGAAGAGAAACGCGTTGTACATGTCTGTGTTGGAGACATTATTAAACCACTGCTGTGTCTCCGATGTGATGACCTCACGCACTGCACCCTCATTTCCAAATTATCAATGTAGTAAAATAATGATGAAAACAAAACAACACAGCACCAATACTTTTTAAGCATTGCCATTTATCAAGGTCGTCTTGTTTTTTAAGGGATCTTCGGCCAGAAGTTGGAGGAAACCGTGCGCTACGAGCGCCGGTTCGGGAGCAAGTTGGCCCCCATGCTGGTGGAACAGTGTGCCGATTTCATCCGGCAGTGGGGCCTCAGGGAGGAGGGGCTGTTCAGGCTGCCCGGACAGGCCAACCTGGTCAAAGAGCTGCAGGATGCTTTTGACTGTGGGGAAAAACCCTCCTTCGATTGGTAAGGAAACAGTAAGCGTACCTTTGCATTGCCTCAAAACCTGCACTGCACCATCAAGGAATTTGAAATACATGCGTGATGGAATATGCCACAGACGTAGCTCTTCAGTCTCTTCCCATGTCTGATCCTCACCCTGTTGATTCCTTTGAAACCTCCCACCTTCCTTTCCTGCTCCCTCGTTGGCTCATTAGTGTCTTTGAGCCTGACGTGGAAATCCTTTGGCCTTTCGGCGGCTCATCTGAAGCGCCCCGTTGTCGTCCCCTCTGTGGCTTTCCTTGTTACCTGTCCAGCTGTTTTTTTACCTATGACCTGTTTGCTTTCCTTAGTCTGCTAACGTCGATGGTTCAGGGAGCCCTAAGGTCATCTCATCTGAAGTCCCATGTTCTTGAGGCATTTGAATAAGGCTCATGGCCAGGAAATAGTTTGACACATAACCATTGATTAGACAAACAAGTATAACAAAATAATTAGTGAGCTACCGAGGTTCCGGTGGTTGATATTTCTTTCTTTCTTGTGATGGACACTGCTGTGTGCAATGACAATTAGCTGCAATCTCATATATTGTAACTAGATACGAGTGGCATGATTCCTCGAATAGTCATAAATGCATAAATTCTTCCCAAAGTGTCAAAATACTCCTTTAAAACTCCACCCTTGATTCAAAGATCCAAGTGCTCTGTTTATTATACCACTTACAGTATTTACTTCATCTTTCCTTGCTGCTAATGATTTGTGTTTACCTCAATGCCGTGTACCCGTGATACTAAACAACCTCAACCCCTTTCCTTATGTGTGTGTGTGTGTCTTTCTATTGTTGCCGTGCAGTAACACAGATGTGCACACAGTCGCCTCTCTACTGAAGCTGTATCTCAGAGAGCTGCCAGAGCCGGTGGTGCCCTTCCACAAGTTTGAGGACTTTCTGGCGTGCACCAAGCTCCTCGGCAAAGATGATGAAATGGTAAGAAAGAGCACTCGAGGAGTTTTTCCTTTTCCTACACCTTTCACCTCACATAAATCATCCAAAGTTCTGCTCCCTCGGGTTAAAGCCGGTCTCTCGCTGTGCGTGCATCCATCCTCTTTTCCTTTCTTCTTTTTCTGTTATGTTGGCTGTGGATATAATTGCTGTTTTTGATATTTAAGTATTTCTACTTCTACTGCATCATCTGCAGGGTTTGAAGGAGTTGCAACAGCTTGTGAACAATCTACCTCCAGTGAACTTCAACCTCCTCAAGTATATCTGCAGGTGCTAATAGACGAAAAGATAAATATTTTGACCATTACTTTACAGTGAAAAGTAGGTTCTGAATAATTTTTTGTTTGCCAGATTTCTCGATGAAGTCCAGTCATATTCAGGAGTGAATAAAATGAGCGTCCAAAACTTGGCCACAGTCTTTGGGCCGAACATCCTGAGGCCGAAGGTTGAGGATCCTGTCGCTATTATGGAAGGTGCGTATGCTCGCCGGTCATTTGCGAGTGAGCGTTTTGTCCTTTGCTGAAGGAAAACGCTTCAAAGTAACCTGCGGTCTGTTGTCCTCAGGCACCGTTCTGGTCCAGCAGCTCATGGCCGTTTTGATCGGCCGCCACGACGTGCTCTTCCCTCCCGACGAGGACGGCCCCGCCGCCCTCGAGCTCGTCAACAACAACATCGAGCTGCGCCGCCGCCAAGCCACCGCCGCCGCCTCCGTCAGCGCCGCGCTGTCTCAGAACGCCGAGAACAACAACGCGCCGGTGGTGAGGCAGTGTGTCTGGGAGGCGCCCGAGTCTCCCTCGCACCGCCAGCCGGTGGACAACGGCGGCTCGCCGCGACCGTCGAGCCCCCGCAACGGCGTCGCGGGGCTCTTCGACGTGGCCCGCAGTCCACCGCTGACTATTAAAAAGAACCCGGCTTTCAGTAAAGGCAGCGGGATCGTTACCAACGGCTCCTTCAGCTCCTCGCCCTCTTCAGACCCCAATCAAGAGAAGAGCCCGCCTCTGACCGGCGGCAGGGTTTTACCGGTGCGGCGCGCCGGGACGCTCAAGGGCTCTGGCACAAAAATGGGCACCAGCGGCGTGACGAGTGGGAGCTGCCCTGCAGGGAACGGGACCGGAGGCGTGCGCATGGGCATCTCCAGCACCGACGGGGTCACGGGCGGCGTCAGCGGCCGCAATGGTCTCTGGGTGCCGAACGGCTGCGTGACGTTACGCGAGAACAACAGAGCGCGCGACTCCTCCCACGGGGATCAGACGTCCAACCAGAACCGCCTGTCGACGTACGACAACGTCCAGTTAAACCATCAAAACCTGCAGCAGCAGCAGCAGCAGCAACAGAACCACTTCACCATCACGTGTCTGAACGGCGGCCACGAGGACAAGCAGAGCGTGGACAGCGCCACCTGGTCCACCTCCTCCTGCGAGATCTCTCTGCCCGACAACTCCACCTCCTGTCGCTCCTCCACCACCACCTGCCCTGAGCAGGACTTCTACGGAGGCCACTACGAAGACCTGGACGGGCCGGCGCAGGACAACGAGCGCCCCCGGTCCGGCGCAGGCGGGGAGGCGGAGGGCCGGACCAGCAACAGGGAAGGGAGTGGAGGTGGAGCAGGGCGCAGCAGCCAGGGGACCAGCAGCAGCAACGATAGTGACGGGTACAGTGTGGGCAATGGAGCCGGTGGTCACAGTGCTCTGCACAGCTTGGTGGCCAGTCTCAAGCAGGAGATGCACAAGCAGAAGGCGGAGTACGAGGCCAGGATAAAGAGGTGAGGCCTGTGTTTTTTCATGACATTTAGAAGAAGTTCTCTCTCTTCATATTATAGACTCTCATTGTTGGTTGTATGATTGCTCGCTCTCTCTTTTTGTTTCCTCACCCTGCGCTTCTGCAGCTTGGAGCAGCGTAACCTGGAGCTGGAAACGGAGATGGTGGTCTTCCACGAAGAGATGGACCAGGAGAGGAAGAAGTACACCATGGCGGAGATCAAGCTGCGCAACGCCGAGCGCGCCAAGGACGACGCCGAGCGGCGGAACGGGATGCTGCAGAAGGAGATGGAGCAGTTCTTCTCCACGTTCAGTGACCTCACTGCCACCGGCAACTCAACAGCCGCCGACCCCCGGCGACCGGACCGGAACAACAGCATCTGGATACAGTGAAGGAAAGGCGGGGAAATCGCCAGCCAAGATGGTTTGTTGTGCGGCGCGAAGATCCCGAGGGCACCGAGCAGGATTTGGTCGTTGAGCGGAAGGTCAGGAAGTTGCATCGTAGAGGTTAAGGGCATGTTTTAATCCAAGGAATAAGAGTTGTAGGGCTGACGCACGGCAGCCGTGTACATGTAGACATCACCTGGAGTGATGCCCGACTGACATCTGTAAATACAGCATTATTTAAAGCTTGCAGACACTCTCCCAACCGTGCCATGGCGGTGTTCCCGTAGTCTGTGATGATACAAATCACTAATATTGGTTTGTTTTAGTTCATGGAGCCATGCAGGACGAAGAATGTTGTGTTCAGCATAAACACAACAACCTGAAACCGTGCAAAACGCCTTCATATCATAATTCAAGTCAAACAATCTAACCAAAAACATCGTATTGCTCTGTGTAATTGTGTAATTGCTCATGTACATAGAGGGAAACATTGCAGAAAAAGAAAAAGAAATGAATAGTAACACTGCGTTTCTCTGTATTTAAGCAAAGTTAATAGGTTGCGATATTTTATATTAAGATTTCTCCTTGCACTTACGTGTTTGTTAAGTCTCTGCAAGGTGGTACTGAATGTTCTGTCGGTCAATATGTGTACGATTTAAATTGGAAAATATACTGTAAATGTGCCTGTGTCTCTGTGCTGTTTCATTAACCCCATGACCAAAAGAAGAGCCTGTACTGTAAGTATTTTATAGATGATCGTAGACGCTACTCTTTGTTTGTCGCATATGCAGATGGCTTTGGCACACATTGTGTTGATACTGATTTGAGAGTGGTTTTATTGCTCGTTGGCACAAATCCCAGATAAAATGTTGGTCCGAAATTCAAAGAAATGCCACAAAATTGACCCTCTCTTTAATTAACAGATGTGTAGCAGCGGCCTTTCTTTAAATGCTCTTGGGAAACACACTTCACGTTCTACCTCTGAGCTTACGAGATTTAAGTGTTTTAAAATAATCTCACGTTGCCTTGTGACAATTTAGCCACCGGACACAACTGGTTTTCCATCCTGAAATAGCACAGAACAACAAGCGGCAGTAACATAGCACCAGCTCACGGTTGTGTTAGTGGGTTATAACTGTGAATAAATCGGATTACAGCATCAAGTGTGTCAACAGTGAGGACATCGAAAGCCTGGCGGCTGCGTTTGGTAGCGAGCATTGTGTGCATGATGGCGCTTGAGGCCACGCGGGCCGGTGTACAATACGTGAATGTCTAACGTGACTGCATGTTGTCTTTGTGAGTGTATTTATGAAGCTTTAAGCCAAATGCACACATGCCGTGTGGATTTGCTGATGGGTACAAAACCTCCGAGTGCAGACCTGAGCTGGATTTCTCTCAAAAGAAGCTGCTGCTGGCTACTCTTCCTCGGAAGACTAGGTCCCATTTAAAAACCTGCTGCTGGTCAATGCAGGACATCTGGAATGTGCACATGAAGAGGTTGGGGAGGGGGGGGGATAATAGGCAGAGGACGAGCTGACAGGCGGCACCTTGTTCTGTGAGTTCAGCACAGAGGAGCAGGTTATGGACGCAGCACAGGAGGGGGAGCAGGACTGGGCCAGTGGAATATTTTCATGACATACTTGATATACAAAAGAACTTATTATGAATTAAAAAAAGGCTTTTTATTTGCGTCTCTGTGTTTGTTATTTACTTTTTTGGAGTGTGTCATAACTTTTAGCATTCAACTGGTGTGGAGAAGATGCAGAATTTACTGGATTTTATCATCAAATTTTTATTTTCATTATCAATTATTTTCTATGAATAATATGAATGGCTGGTTTATAATGCAATTTTTACAATGACATAGAAAAAAGCAACAAATACCATAAAATGATTGGGGACCAGGATTGTCAAACACAACCAGAGAAGCTGAAGTTACCACAGAATAAAATATATGTTAACATGTGATAGTAAACAAATCTATACATCTGTATTTAAATTTAAAATCCTCTATCATGAACATTAGGGCGGAGAGGTCAGCATCATGTATTCCTCATTCTGCGTGGCTAATAAGTGGCTAATAGACACCTGTACATCAGCCTGAACCTGAATTAGTGTGTTTAGGTGCACTTTGGACGTATGTTTTATATATAAAACAGCACATATAAATCCACACATTTTTTTCAGGAAAGAATACATTTGTACAAGTCCAAGATCAAAGATTTTGTTTATTTTCAATCACATACATATACTATTTTTTCATACACAGTTCCTTTAAAATGTTGTGTTTACAGTAACAGCTTTCAGTATTTTTTTTCTTTTTCTTTTGCATTTGTTTTTGACTTTATTTGAAACGCTATAGCCTGAAGCTTTGAGATCAGCGTGAAACAGATAATAATTTATTTTCTCTTTTTTTTCAACCTGACAATTTCAAAAGAATGTTTCATTAAAACAGCACGGAGTAAAATAAACAAGAGAGAAGGTAAATGTAAAAGAATCATAGAACAACATCCCCTGATTCAGATGAGCTATACAGGGTTTCATTACTGTGGAGTTCCACATTTAAAGACTCGGAACATTTCAGCATTGCCTGACCTTGCAGCAGCCTGCCTCCCTGTCTGAGTGCAATAACGGTTTTATTGCATTCTTGGATTGTTGTTATATACAATATGACGTGAAAGAAAAAAAGGTGAAAATGAATTAATTCGGGGTCACAAGTACTGGATCCAAAGATGTTACGCTGGCACAGTTGGGTATAAGATGCACCCTAACTTGTGATACCGGCAATCGTGTTCTGGCTGAATCATGCGTTTTTGGGCCATTTTCCAAATGCAAATAAACGGCTGACGGAAAACGAATTTGAATCCTGAATATACAAGAGATCACTTGAAACCCCTTGTGTGACAAAAATTAGGAGCAGGATTAGCAGTTGACACATTTCTAATTCCTAAGGTTTATGTGATTGAACGTGAATACACACATGAACTACTTCCAAACACGTGACTGTACCGACTCTCCATCAACATTCTTGCAACCGACCCCGCCAAAACTTACATTGAAAGAAACATGTGAAAACACAACCTGTCAAATAACTCGTCGAGTTCACATCTTTCGATTCAACCTTACAGACAGTTTGTGTTGAATGCTGGTTAATTTGAAATCAAACAAACACACGCTGATGACAAAGCAGAGCAGCAGTGACGTGAGTGAAACAATTCATTTCTACATTCGGTGCTGTTAGAGTCAGCTCCACTTCAGGCTCAAAAGCACCTTTTTGTTACAACACAATTGTCTGGAGGGTTCTCTTATAAAAAAAAAAAAAAAGATCACATTCAGAGAAAAGAAACGACGGAATCTGTTTCAGTATTTGGAGTCCAAAGGAAGAATGTAGTTAAAACCAGTACCGCCACGCCGTGTCTCCGTGGCGTAGGAGTCGACTCGAAAACACTTAGACCCCTTTTTTTTTTTTTTTTGCAAGAGATTCGAACATTTTCAAAAACACAAAGAAACGTCAAAGTTGCACCCTGTATTCTGAAAGTTTGCCCCCCGGGCCAGACCCCGAACAGAGCGCCGAGCTAGCCGTATTCTACTGGTAAAACGCCACCCGCCTCCCCCGTCGGTCACCCTCTCATCTCTGCTAAGGTGCTGCAAGTCGGTGTGTGTGTGCGTGTGATTCTCTGCACACAAGCCACAGGCCGGAGGAGTGTCATCAAAAGTAGCCTGTAGAAGTTATGTAGATCACTCTGCTGCTTCCAGGAGACTCCATGCAGAAAGTAAACCGCTGTGCTGAAGCTTTTGAAGCAGAGGTCACAGTTAGACCGTCAAATTACATTAGACGTCCGACTAAACAAAGCTGTTATCGCACGTCTGGGATGATTTAACGATGTCATGACCGACATTCACCCATTATTCTTGGGATAGCGGACATTTGAGTCATGCAGCTTCCAAAGGCAGGAAGTAACGCAAGTCGTGTTTGGACGTGCTCGGAACATGATGATTTTACACTTGATTTTAAAAATAGTACCTGATTGTCAAGAGGTGACGGGAAATCTATTTACTCTGCAAACTATGCATAAAGGGGGAGCGAGATCTCCTGAAACAAAAACAGCTCTCAGTTGCTATAAAGTCTTTCCATCCGACTGAAGGCCCATTAGAACAAGTGTTTTTTCCTTGCTTGTGAAATGTGATTGCATAACCCAGCATCTGTTAATGGGTCTTTGCCCATAAACCCACACAACCCTGCATGAGGACATGGAACATGGCAGTGGAAACCAAGATCATGTAAGCTAAGAGTAAATGAAACATGCACAAGTAAACACCTTATACTGTGTTTTATATCTGAAGCAGGAAAATAAAATAAAAGCTTCAGAAGCTGTAGGAACACATTAAATGAAAGCAGCTATTGCTACTGTAGCTAAAACTGTTGTTGTCAGCAGTGGATATATATCGTGTTTTGAATGGAGTGGACATTAGATGGTGGAAATATCAAAGGTTGGATGTGGCCTACACCGGTGGACTGAGAGAATCTGTTCACATTGTTTTATTTTAAAGTAAAATTTAATTTAATTAACATGCAACATGGCAGAACACCTTTCATGTTGTGTAAAACATAGCATAGGTAGGTCTTTAGCCTTACAATCTTAGGAAAGCAATTTGATTTCACACCACAAAAAGAGGATCAGAGGAACTTTAATGTTTGGTGGCCGGGGAGATTCCGATAGTTATAAGGTAGAAAAAGAGGAAGCACAGAAATAAATGGCCAAATTAATATCATTTCTGCACTTGCAATGCTTCATTCCAAAAGGCACTTGCCATATTCAGTTTCCATCTCTCGAAATAAATAATTCAATAAATAAGTCTTCCAGATAAGAAATAATGTAGACAACATAACAGTTGCGTTGCCTCCATCCAATTCAATTGACAAAAACAAATTTTGTTTTTGTGCGTTGTGTCGTCAAAGGACGTGCATGGGTTTCCTTGAGGACAAATTGATACACTGCTACGAGGTGAACACTCACCGCCTGCCTTCCAAACGTCTCACTGTATCATTTGGATCCCCTCCCAAAAGCCTTGGATGCTTCGGACAATCCAATAAATAAGAGTCGCCTCCTCGTGGCGACACCACGGCGAACCAGACCAACCACCTGCTCCCATGTGGGGTTAATGGGGAACAACGACATGCGTGTGCTGGAGGGGGTCGATCATACACTATCAGGAGAAATAAAAGGGACATTACGCACAAATCAGACTTCTTAACCCCCTTGAGGGTCATTTCATGAAGCCTCAGCATCAAAATAATTTATTTCAGAGTGTACTGACCCTTTAAGTCCCAAACGCAGCCCTGACATTTACCGACGTCTAAATGGCTCGCACACGCACACTCACTCGTCCTGTCCTGTGACCAGACCCCCCAAATGTCCAGTGTTTAGTTAGTTTACATGGTATATAAACAAAAGTCTGTATACAGACTCATTTTAGTAATACAGAGTGAGATTAGCAGAGTTAAAATCGAATCATGCAGGACTACAGCAATAGACGGGGGGCAACTGAGGTGCAAAGCGGTGATGTGGCGACGTGTGCTACTCAGAAAAAAAAAAGGGGGAAAAAAAACCCTCCCGGTGTACTGGCCGTCAGTCCCACTCTGTGTGCCCTTCAGCTGTACAGAATTACATTATTTACAAGTAGCGCAGGAAGCGCCGCTCTGGGGGAGAGCGACTACGTGTCCCTGCAGAATAACCACATAAAAACACACCAATCGGGCAATCTTACGTGAGAGGGGGGGGGTTGTGTTGGGTGGTCTTGTAGACAAAGCCGAGAGGTTAAAATACACAGCAGTGTCTACACATGAACGGTTTGAGAGGGAGAACGTATTGTGCAGGAGTGATGGGCAAAATGGCCGCCGCCCACCACGCCACAACGGCGGGAGCGTTAATGCTCCTGTGAGGAATTGGGAGGAACAGCCGCAGGTCAGTATTCACTTCACAGGAGATGCGAGTTGAAGCATTTGGTCGTTTTTTTGTTCGGATGCCATACACAAGATATGTGGGGTAAATATAAGCAAAAGCAACTAGAGAATCATTAACATCTATCTCATTTAGTTCAGGTTAAATACCACTGCTGTTTATGAATGACGATGCACAGGCTCCAGATTTCATCATTCCAGATTCTGTGTTTCCACCTTCCTCGTGTTTTTGTTCTCAATATATTCATTTTGATCTTTTACTCTTTTGTTTGTTGGTTTTTTTTCCGGTGTGCGTATATTCAGTCGGTCGGCCGGGTCGGTTGGGTTCTTCACCTTCGAAAGAACGCGGGGTTGCGCAGGCAGGCGGCTAGTCACCTGCAACACCCGAGGGGCCCCGCGGAGGTCTCCAGGCTGCTGTCGGTGTCTGAGGCCAGGGTCTGGTCGGTTGACATGGAGGAGATGTCGTTGATGTAGGTGGAGTGGGCGAGGCTGTCGCTGCTGTTCACGGCTGCACCTGCGCTAAGGGAATCAACGGCAGCAAGGGGGTTACAACGTAAAAGAGTCCCGGCAAAGACGGGGGCGCAAAAACAACTTTAAAAAACGCAGAGGACAAACATGAGCGACGTGGGACATCTGTGATCAAACCGGGGGGAGTAAGGTTTGGGTCCGATGGTTAATTGCAGGACACGTAAGTGGGAGGTAGCTGCTTAATGGGAGGCCAGTGGGTGCTTCACTTAAAAAAACAAAGCTGGGTTACTTACAGCTGTCAATACATTTGAGTTTAGTCTCAGATTTTTGACTTTTGTCAATTATAATTCAACGAAGATGCATTTTTGGAGACACCGGCTGCAGCCTGTGATGGGATGTTTTAACCTTTTTGCTTTTCCTGCTGCAGTAAAACACTGCCTTCTGCAGCTCCTGCCCTGTCTGCTGCACTCAGCATCAGAGACTAGGCCACAGCTTCTGCTTCATTTCGGGTGGTCGGGATTTTGTGAGAAAAAGAAAAGATGAAAAGTAGCTGTTGAATAAACGTTGTGACGAAGTCCTTACTGACTGTGTTGTCTAAAGCTTCATCTTCGCCTTGGGGGTTGAAACTTAGTCTTTCTATACTAATAGAGTGTTGCTAGACACTGAACAACCCAACAGTAATCTATTTTCACAATGAAGTACCGGTGCTAACGTGACTCTACACTGCCTCTGTGTGGAAAACCACGAGAACAGCCGTTACTGTGCTCGGAGCTGCTAGTTGCATATACACAAAATGTCAGCGGCAGACGAGGAATGAAATATCCTGCGATGGACCCAAAGGACCCAAACCTTTAGGCAGTTAAAGCAATTCAAATATGTAAAGAGGAAAATGTGTGCGATTACTGATTAGCTGTAAAACAAACGACGACCTTTAACAAATACACTTTGTTACAAAATCACTGAACAACATTTAACATTAAGACGGGAGATGCAAAAGACAAGAGACACACTGTCAACAACACGACGGGTTTCTCTATTTACAAGTAACTCCAGTAAGGTTGTAGTAAATTCACTTACAGAGCGATTAGGGTTATGCACTGAGAGTACCTGAAGGTGAAGGCTGTCCCTTCACTACGCCATTCTTCGTTCTCTCCTCAAAGTTCATCACCTCTTTGTAAATTAGTTCTGCCAGGGAGCGAAGCAAAAGTTGTTAAAACGCGTAGAGTGTTTAAAAAAAACAGTGTCTGTTAACGGTTTAATTACGTAATTGTCACCTTTCCATTCATCAATGGAGTGTTCTCTCTCATCCAGTTGCTTGTCGTAGATCTGAGGTGGAGGCTAAACGGGAGAGAGAACAGACGTCTTAGCTAAGAAAACACACTCAGCAAGATTCATCCAACATGACATTTATGTGACTGATCTCTGCAGGTGGAGTATCAATACAAATAACAAATACAAGTTTGCATAGTCACGCGTATTGATTCGGCAAAATGGATCAATAATAGCAATAATACAACAGTCTGTGCTTTATGTAGCCGTCGTCACATAAAATGCTGATTTACATAAACACCAATAGGGTATTCGCCACGTGTATCTGAATGTTACAGAAAAAGCTGCATTGGACTCTCGACAAGAGGAGGAAATCTGGTGTCTTGTCATTTTATTTGATCTAACCGGACGCGCTTCTGCTGTCAGTCACCCGTCGCGATCCGGCGCCAGACTCCGGCACCGCTGCAGGCGACAGGCGTGACCACAAACCTGTCAGGTGGCCTCGCAGGGGCAGTCACATGTCTGCGTTGGGCAGCTTAAGCAAGACACACCTTTGGACAGTTTTTTCTTCATCAAGATCTCCTAAAAATATGCACTTTGTATTCTATTGTTTATGTTTTTAGACCTGATCGATGATTGGCAGTGCTGAACCAACATAGCGTCCCCTATGGTAACTTTCTTTGATGCAGGGCGGTTGTTATTTACCATGGATATTTGGATGAGATCTCGGGCCTTCATCAGCATGAGATGACATTAGAGAAAGGGAAAAACAGCAGAAAACGTGTTGATACATTTCACATCAACTGTAACAACAATATGTCATCATTGAAAAACTACCAACAGATTAACAACTTTGCAATTGCAGAGTCATCAAATCCTCTAACGGTGAAATACAATGGAGGTGTGTAATGTGGCGTCGTTGAAACAGCAACTTTAAACCAGCGGGTTGTTTAATGCTGAAGTGCATCAGCTGGTCATGCGCTCGTTAGAGTAGAAGAAGAAGCGGTTTCTGTGCCCCTCCATCGTGCTGCAGATGGCGTTTTTTCCGTCACCTCATACTAATGAGGCACAGATGAAGAAATTCGAATTCTCCCGTTACAAAACTACAAGTTCTAACAATAAGATGAGGAGTCATCGTGATCATCCTCTCCCAAACAAAATTATTTGGATGGTAATCAATAAACGGCTCTGCCAAAGGCCTACTTACCGCCTCCACCTCAGCTGGATCGTACCACACGTTGATGTAGGGGTGCTGCAAGGCGTCGTCCACCGATATCCGCTTGGCCGGGTCGATGATCAGCATCTTGGACAGCAGGTCTCTGGCCTGGCTGGCTGTGGTTTGAAGAAACACACAAACACAACACAAATTTTTTTTTTAAATAACTGGGCAACAAAATATTCCTCTTTGCTGGCAACATGCTCAAAAAATACATATGGAGCAGAATGGGTAAAGGATGAGAGAAGAGGGATGTCAGGGATTAAGGGGAATGATAAAGGGAACCAGACGCCAAAGTCACCTTCAGGTAAGAAAATTAAACACACACTTTTTACACCTAGAGCTTTTGGAAACAAGTATTTACTGCAAAACATATTGCATGCATCGACTGGGATTAAAATTCAAGATTCTGGCATGTTCCATATACATATCTAAGGAATCCCCTGCTCTCGCTGGTGTCCTTCTAAATGCGTTTCATAGCGGCATTAGTATGCAGAAACCACAGCATTTTCTCTTCGACATTTTGGCTTCTGAACATGAGAGAAGACCACCGGCACCAGCAGTCGCTCAGGCCCCCTCGGACTGATGTGAAATTGAGAACCCGTAAACCACTGACCCCATTATAAATAGATCCACTGAACAGAAAAGACAGATGAGCCGAGCGCCACCGCTGCATTTCTCCTCAGCGCGTCGATAACCGACGGATGTTGAGTCTGTAAAACGACTCCTCCACCGCTCTCCTTACGCCTTTCCTTATTCCATCTATCTCCCCTCTCTCTCTCTCTCTCCTCTCTCTCTGGTCCCCACTTCTGATGGCACTCAGAAGCTGCAGCTTGAGGTGACAAAAAGCCCAAAGGATGTCTGTCTCGGTGCCTAACCTACAAAACATTTCCTCCAACGCCGTCACTTCAACGCGGAGCAGCCAGAACGCAAAAGTGACTCATGTGAACTTTTGCCAGACAGGAGCTTTGATGTCGGAACAGAACAAACGACAAGGGACATTTAGCTATTTCTCAATGGAGGGAATTCCCTCTGTTTTAAGACGCCAGGAGCAGCGGTTGCTCTTCTCCACTGAGACCGAATGAATAAAACATATCTTGGTTAACCCTTTGCATAAGAATGGATCGAATTCCCAGAGGGCCACAGAATGCATGAAAAATGTAAAAGATAATTTTGGGGGGGTTTTAGGTAAGTATTCAAATTCTGACTTGATGAACAGAACTGCTAAGTGACAAATGAAGGTATCCACATAGTTACTATAATGAATTGTGATACAGAATGGTACATGGGGGCATGTTACAAGTTTCATGGCAACCCGCACAATAGATGTTGAAACATGTGGTAGCATCTGTCATGTAAGAACGTAGACGCGTTCTATCTGTGATCCCAATTCAAATAGTCGACCAATCTGCGATCTGATCAAAAGGCTCAAACTAAGTCCACTCGGGCCGTTCAGGTTCTCACCTTTGAGTTTGTTGTGCTCAGAGTCAGCAGGGAAAAGGCAGTCGGGGAAGAGCTTGGGGAAGGTGAGGCCTGCGTACTTTGGCCGGTTCTCCACGTAGTTCCTCACTGTGGGCTGAAGCTTCTTCATGAAATCGGGAGAGGGCGTTCCCAGCTGCTCAATCACCTTGTTCCACTGGTCGATGTCTGGCGTGGTGGATCAGGGTTAAGAGAAACACACACACGGGGATACGCAGCATCCGGGGTGCCTCGGTGTGCGCTCAGCTACTACTCCCACGCAATAAAGGTCAGGACAATCAATCAAGAACAACAATAACGAAATAAAATAAATGATATTCAAATAAATAGAAAAAGAACCTGGGTCTGCTAGACACATTATCACCTGCATAGACATAAAACAACAGCACTTAAAAGGAGCATGAACCCCGAAGCTTCGTTAAGTCTTGTCAACATTTTTTTCCTTGCTTTCAGCTTGTCATTCTCTTCCTTGTTGGCAGTCCAAACACTGCAGATGCCCCCCCCGCCCCCCCGCCCCACCCTTCCTACCCGAGTTCTCACAGAAGTTGCCAGTGGAGGCAGTTTGCTGCCAGCGTTACTTCACCCTGCTGGAGCGCTGCGCACTTTCACCCCCGTTTGGTCTCCGTTGCACATTGGCCGCCATCCACCCAGCGCTCAGAGAGGAAGTATTATGTTTTCCTCTCATCCACCAAGGTTTCTGAAGAGGGCACCGCGCCAGTGGTTGGTTTCACGGCTAGAGGTGTCGGTGACAAAAAGGCCACTGCGTTTGGAGTTGCTCTATTCAGGTCTACATGTGAAGCGGAGTGAGAGAAGGGCGGAAGCTCGGAAGGATACGGTCGGTCCCAGAGAACAGCACCGTCCCTCTTATCACCTCCCCAAAGATGCAGCCGACTGACCACATGTCCACTGGGATCAAACACACACACAAACACACACTCGCTTTATAAATGACTCTTCCAGCTACTAAATGCCTCCATTAAAAGAACATAAAGATAAAAAATATCATCTGGCCTCCCTCATTTATTACATGCCCCATGTCCCTTCACACGAAGTTCTACGTCACATTACTGCTCTGATTTAATCATTTCCCCTCATACAGCGGGTGAGAGAATTGAGCGTGGAGGCTAAGGTGATGAAGGTGATGATGAACTTCGGCATCATTGCCATTACCCCATAGACACGTATTTAACACACTGCTTTACTAAACACTCACACTGAGGCAGACAGACTGCTCTTCTTTATCATCATTTGACAGACACTCGGGAAAGTGCAGACGACTTCAGCCCGTGAATTAAGATTAGCAACAACAGGGTCCATGAGAAGAAGAAGTATGCAGGACTGCAGTTTATTGATCCACAGTAAGACGGGAAGGAGTGTTAGGTTTGTTGTGGAGCAGAGACAGAGGGGAGAGAGCGTGCAGAGCTCATTGCAGGGGGTTTATCTCTCCGGAGCGTTAATCTCTCAGGGACGGCGTGTTCGGGGACGGAGGGACCACAGTATTAGACACAAGCACCGGCAGACACACACGGCTTATCCAAACAACTTACTCTACATTCATCGTTTTAAAAAGAATGAGGCTGGTGATGACCCATATTTTTTGTGTCGTCAAGTAATCCCTTGAAGTGGGAAAATATCAAATCTACACAACCGGTATACGACCTACTACCTCCCCATTAGGGCAGCTGTTGAAACATTTTTAAACAGCTCCCGTCTAGTCTACGTCTTTATTATTCCAACCGTCCTCAAACCACCGAGTGAGCTGCTCAAAATAAATACGTAAATCATTCATTATGAATTCACTAAATGCTTAATAACTTTGTCTGACTCACCCAGAGATGACAACATGCACGTCACTGATTGAACACAGGCTCCGGGGACTATTATTATTATTTCATGTTATTGCAGGTAGAAGTGTTGAAAGAGGACATGTGTTACAAAGACAGCCAGTTGTGAGTGGGGTTTAGTTCACCTCGGTCCCATACAGAGAACATTCGGCCAGCGAAAGAAGATCTTCAAAAGGTAAATATAACTTAATATAATAGAAAAGCAAAAATCGACCAAGATATTAAAGTATGTTATGGTTATTACTGTGTGAATTAAACATTCACGTTCTTGACAGGAATAATGGACGACACTCCCTCTGTTTCACTAATTCCAAACGCTCCGAGCACTTGACTCTAGAGAGTGTTTCAAAAGGCGGAGATCCATCTTTGAGTCAGACACGTGTAACCCAACACCGCCGGTCGCGTTTAAGACAAAGAATGATGGGTTTTTTAATTAATATTGCATAATATAACAGCAGGCACAAACAAACATAATGTTACCATCAGATAACAAGGATACAGTCCCGCCCAGGGAAGAGGATTTTGTGGCGCACCATTTCTCCCATAATGCACCCCACCGACCATAAATCCACTGCGCGAACAGAGGTGACAGAAAGATGAAGAGGGAGCAAAAGCAAAGAGAGGAAAGCCACGGTTAGTGTTAGACACGTCAAGCTTTCTGATTAGCTGTTATTCGCTGTGGGAGAATTCATTAGTGACGGGCGTGTGCCATGGAGATAAACTTAAATGAAATAGATGCAGGCAGACAGCAGAGGATGAGCAGAAGCAGGCGACTAACTAGCGGCAGGGTATTCTGAAGCCTTTGAGGCCGCGGCCTCTGCGTGGGAAGGAATATACCGATGAGTCATAGCTTGCAGGCTGACATTCAATCACCAGTCTGATGTTCTAGAGGCTTCTAGTCAGTGACTCATACCAGCAATGCAATTCAATTAACTTTAGCGCTGTTTGCAAATGCTCCCCCACATTTGTTAATAAGTTTCACAGATAAGTGAGAACTCTTTTCGTGCTCGTCAATGCTGATGAAAGGGCAAACAATTGTATATTTCGCTAAGTTGTGACTGGAGAGAATAAACAATGGAATCCTTCCAGTGCTATTCTGATTTAGACGTGTCTCTATGATGCGTCCTCACCATTCTCTTTGTACCCCATGCCGAGGATGACCTCCGGGGCTCTGTAGTATCTAGTCACCACATAAGGGGTCATCATGAAGCTGGTGCCTGCGGTCCTGGCCAGACCAAAGTCCAGGATCTTCAGGGTGCAGTCTGACTTCACCACTATATTGCTTGGTTTCAGGTCCTGGAGGTGAGAAGAGACTGGCGTGAGGAACTGGTTTCCTTGGATCACTGCTATATTAATTATGCAGCGTGTAAATGCGCATTGATGATGCGTGAAAATACATTTTAACCAGTAAAATCTCCCGTTGCATTGACAAGGACATGATCCCTAATAGACTTGTGTTGTGTGAACACTTAAAACGTGTAGATAATAAGAAAACTGTGGGCTTTTGCTTCCCTACCCTGTGAATAATGCCAGCCGAGTGCAGATGTTTGATACCACACAGCATCTGGTAGAGCAGGTAGGACATTCTCTCGTGGTCCAGCTCCATCTGAATCACCTGGCACAAGTTGGCATCCATCAGCTCCATCACTAGGTACCTGAGAAAAGTTTTTCTTTTAATCATTTCTGTATGGATGACAGACTTACTGGTTGAGCGATTCGATTGTGAGTCGTTGAATCAGCTGTTTGATGAAACATCTCAGCATAGTAGCGCTCCGTAAAAGCCGTAAACCCTTTCAGGCAAAAAGATAAGTCCCACAAAAGACACCTGAATCCCTCTGCGGCTCTGCGTCTACCTAGAGATGCCCTGAACGTGAACACGCTCTCATTTACCATTCAGTTCAAGAACAGGATACCTTCCGGTTGCCTCGGGTTACGCCCTCATTACTTTCACTGACTACTCTCCAGCGGTTGTGTTCTCACAACTGCAGGTGCGAAGGAGTAACATGCACATGATGCATAGTTATTAAATGAGTACCCTTGCATTCATTTGGGATATAATTCAAATGAAAACAAGTGGCCTTTTTTGCACGTTACATGAGCTAAATTCACATTTTTCACCGAAATGTAATTATGCAAAGAAGGGTCCGCCATACTCACACATCCTGGAAGTCCTCTAATGATTTCTGTGGTGTGAAGACGTTTAATAAACTGATAATCTGAAAGACAGAAGAGTGTGGAGAGGATCAACCCGCAGCAGTCACAGTAAATACGCACACAAATCTGAAGGGCGATACTGGAGTCAAGTTGTTACAATGACCCTGGCGGAGGACGAAGGAGTGGGTTGGAACGAAAGAGCAGGGATCAACGTTCGGGAGAGGAGAAGGAGACACTGGAGAAGGGAAAAGGGTCGAACATGTGGCACCGCAGATTACATTCGCGCCTTGAAGTGCTCTCTGATTCACTCTCCGGCCAATTCGGTGCATTTCTGGAGGCGTCGAATTTAGTCCAGTCACAACGTCGCAGTCACTCCCCTCCGTTTTGCAGCGAGGGGATTTATTGAAAACCGAAAACAGACAGCGACTGAGGAACGGCTTGAAACTGTGCTTCATTCAGACGCTGGATACATTTTGGGTTCCTGTTCTCTCTGTTGCCCCTCGAATGAGCCACTTACATTTTTGTGATTGACACATTTCATGAGCACCAACTCCCGGTACGCCCTCTTGGCATGGGTCTGGTTCTGGAAGGGTCTGCTCAACTTCTTGATGGCCACGTTTCTGTCCAAGACAGCGTCATAACCAGCACTGCAGAGGAGAAGATAAATTCCTTTATTATGTACGGCTGGATGAAGCCATCTGGAATGTCATTGGTCACAAAAACATTTTTCTCCGAGAAAGTAAACACCCATGAAAATAGATGAGAGATGTTTTGAGCTTTGGAATTTTACCTGGAAAATCTGTTTAGACTTTTGCAGGGCTGAACCTATTTAATGCAGTTGAATGCAACTTCAGGATGTCACTGTGGGAAAGAGTCTCGCTGCTCCCCGCTATGCTAAATTTAACCGCTTCATATTGAATGCTAAGATAACAGGAGAATTTGTCATCTTTTGCATATACCACTGGTTTTCTTTTTTATACTTCAGTGGATCATAAAGCCTGAACTATTCCTTATTGATGCTGATACTTGATTATAATGGGATGGACTTTATTGATGTTGCTGTATTATAAACAGTGCAATGCAGGGAAATAGAGGGCTGTGTGTGCGTGAGTTACAAGTTAATGGTTTCTTTTCTCATAGTGGCTCAACCCATTTTGCAGGTCATTACGGCAAATTGAGTTCTCTGCTGACTCACCAGAAAACACCAACCTCTGAGAACCTTAGCGGAGTTTTGCCTCTTTGTGTAGATTTATGTTTGCCACCAAAGGAAAGCACACCAGTGCTTCATAAAGAAAAATGATGCTGTGAATATGCCGCGCTGCGCACATCGCATACTGAGCTCCATTTCTTTGACTGCACCCTTTCTGATAAATCTTCCCTAAAAGATGCTACAAATTTGAGTTTCAACGCCGCATGCAGGCGTCCTGCAGCCTTAATCATAAGACACTTGTGTGTGGGCTTGCGGATGGATACCAGTGTGGTTTCGTCGTGTCTCTGGAGGCTGCTGGCCAGGGATGGTGTGTGACCATGGAAACAGTGCAGCCTTTATAAAAGCATTGATCCAGCAGGGATTTCAACCTGTCATCGCTTTTCTGGCTCAGTGAAAGATGATGTCATGAACGGCTAAACTACTTAAAGCTTTCATCCCTGCTAAGACGCTTCTGAAAGCTCACTCTGTCCGAGCAGAGGAGTCAGAAGGGCAGAGATGTGCACAGATCGGGATGTCTGTGGGCGACAACGTTGGCAGAGTGAGTCCGAGCTGCGAGAGTGATACAAGTGTTCCCTCATTATCATTATGATGCTCTCAGCTTCTACAGAGGCACGAATCGTCTCATTGCGTAACAAAGGCAGGACGCAAACATACTGCGCTCGCTATTGATAAACTTTGATGTATTTTGTTATTTGGATATCTAAATACGAGCTGTTGGGAGAACACATATGTTATAACTCTGGCAATGGATTCCTTACCACCGTGAGCTCAACCTTCAACCTTCAGATGCTAGATACTTACAAATAATTTCGTTGCAATGGTATCTGTTTTACTTGCTGCCCATCTTTATCAGGGTTTTCTGGCAGAAGGCATAATCCATCTTAATGGGACTTCTAGTTAAATATAGAAGAGTTCAAATAACTGTAGAAAATAATTCAATTTAGTGTAAAAGCGGACAGATGTTAGACAAAATGATGCCGTCCAACTGCGGATTATGGTGATAATAACAGTAAGCACATCAGTGAATAATTTCATCATCTCATTATGTCACAATAATTCTTCCAACATAAATATATGTCACGGCCTCATGGTACGTTGTTGATGTGCCGGTTGACATTATTCAGATATCGTGACCCGTTTGATCCCTACAATATTACATCAGTCTTCTGGGTTTCATGTGGTGTGCTTGTGGTAACACCGTCACCAGACGACACCAGACGACAGCTGTACAGGCAGAGCCGAGCAGCACACAGCAGAGCAGCTTCAATTAGATTTGCACTGCCTCCCCTCTCATCCGTCTCTACAATATGCCTCAAATGGGCACAATCCCAGCATCAGCAGCCTCCCAGAGCTCCTTTGCGAATGCACAATATTGCTTTAGAGCGGAAGGAGAGAAGGCGCGGAGGGCATGGGAAGCGAAAGGAAGGACAAAGAAAGAGGGCGAATGGAGGGCAAGGGCGTTTGGAGCTCTGAGAACCAGTGACGCCACAAACACTCAAGAACATGTCCAGTCGACTCATGCCGAGAAGGTTCACACCAGTGACAACTGCATCAACATAAATATTACTTATGGAGCTGTTTGGTCAATTGACAGGCTGCAAGATGCATTCCTTAAAGTGGGCCTTTGGCAGCGGCACCACTGCATTCTGACGGAGCAGGCGTGAGATGAATAGCAATGAATGTGAGCTCTCTCTCTCTCTCTGCAATCCGGATTAAGGATTCACGTAAGCGCCCGTCCTGTTGGGCCGTTATGGTCCACGCGTCCACAAGCTTGCAGCACTGGAGAAAACAAAATATCAGCTGGAACACCACATTAATGATTAAATCATGCCAGAATACTTCCATGTCGCAGTGATTGTTATGAATAATTATTTTTAACTATATGGGCAATATTTTACTACTATTTTATTGATATGTTTTACTTTTCTCGACAGGTTATTTATTATTTACCCCTCTAACCTTCTAAATTCAACCTTTAAATAAATATCACAACCTAAGTTCATAAGAAGAAACAGGGTTGCTTCTCGGTTGGGTGCCCTGCTTCAAAAAGGTCCATCGGGTCAGTCAATCGGATGCATTTAAAATTCATCAAAACGATCAAACATGAGACGATCACTGCTGCATTACTTTCGGGCTCAGCTGGGGCCTTTATCAGCCCTTTTTGACAGTGTTAATCAAAAGTATATTTACAGTATTAGTTGAAGATGTTGATATAGTTTAGAATTGAAATAAAATGGTGCCTGATCACAAACTAAAATGTTCCGGCTCATCTACACCAAAGAAAAGATAACAGCTAATGAGATAATCACACATTGAGCATTACATGAAAAATGGTGATGTGATGTAAAACAGGACATTAAAGAAACGCACGGTTGAGCTCTTACCAGACGATTCCCTGAGCTCCGGAACCGATGGGCTTTAAATTCTGGTACCGTTTTAAAACTGTGAAAGTGGAGTCTCCCACTTCCACGCTGTAGAACTGGTTGTCCACTTTGCTTTTACTCATGTTGTAATGTTTGGCGATATATGACACATCCACTTGTTTTCCAAAACCCTGCATGGAGCAAAAACAACAGAGAGATTGTGTTAGTGAAATGTAGTGAAAAGGGGTGTGACAGGTTATAACACGTAAAGGAAGGAAAACTATTAGTTTATGAACGCGCACACAATAATAATCGGGCTATTTTTACTTGGCCAGTGGAGTCAAACAAATGGTCCCACAACAAAAAAAAACGGCTAATTGCAGACGGGGTGATTACAACACTGCTCTCACACCGAAACAAAGCTGTGCCACTGGGCATCCCTGAGGGGCTGAAACACTTCTGTGATGTGATACGTTTAAATGCTGTGATCCGATTGTTGCAGCACATTGGTCTGCAGCCTTCGCCGTACCAGCCAGCTATCGCGGCTAGCACCGCTCGCGCTAACACGTGCATTTGTAACGCGGACATCTCATCTATTAAGGGGCAAAGGCCTCTTAATAATTCGAGCTACACAGCGGGACAGCCTGCAGCAAACTACTGTTGCACATAATCGTGAACTATAGATTGACATAGTTCATGAAATTAACTATTAGCCATTAATCTTTTGCACCTTTTTTAAGTTAGGATCTCAGCGTTAAGTGTATAAAATGATCATCAAAAGGCGAGACATTCTATCCACCCTAGAGCTTCGTATCACTGGTGGAAACCATTTTGAGCTTGACATTAACAGGATTATACTTCATTCTTATGCAAATGTTGTTAATGTTTGCCTCAAACTGTTGTTGAGTTATCTCCCTTTCGACACAGAGAAACGCGACAATACCACGACACACACATGTACATGTCAATGGAGGGGAAATGGAAGGGAATGAGTACTGTACCTTTTTTACCTGTAAGGAACACACACCTGACAAAAGGCTATCTTCACATCCAGGATCGGTTGGCTGCAGTTATATAAGAAATGTCTGCTCATAAATACCTGCAAGACACAAACAGAGCAGAGCCAGAGTCACATCAGTAACAGGAACTCACAGTGTGAGCTGCAATATGTATAAGCATATTAACTGTATTCCACACAGTAACATTTGTCTACACCTGGATTTCACCTGAGCCACTTACAATTCTACAGGCAGCATAGAGGAGAGCAGTTTAATCAACATGTGCACAATGATGGAAGAGCTGCTTGGGTTCCTGTACTTCCCTCTTTCTTGGTGTGGGATTCAAAATTGCGGCTGTGTTCTATCTGCTCTGCCCTCATCATTCTCAATAAAAGAGAGAAAACCACATGTTGCCACTACCCACTCCTCTCCAACAGACCAAAACAATCGATTCTTCGTTTAAGTACAAAATAGCATGGCGACCTTGACCCAATGTCTCTGTGTTTCAAGATGCTGGTGTGATGTGGGCTGATGCCATCTGGGATGAAAAACAATATATTGTGTTGGTGAGTTCCTGACAAACAAGTACTCCCCTATATCTGCAATATGCCTGAAATTATAACATCATGTTAATAAATGTCCAAAGGAGTGTTGTACATTTTGGCAAAGAAGGCTTCTGCTGTGAAGGACCATGGGTCAATGTGTTTGTTTTTTTCACAATTTTGTTTTTTGAAGATTGCAAGGAAGGCCTAAAGATGAGTTACCCGTGTTAGACAGGAGCAACATATCCTGCAGCCGCTTCAAGGGTTTCCCAGGTAATGAAACCCCCGATGTGCTGATGATCACGTCTGAATAAATTCATATATATTACTAAAGCCATATTTGCCAGAGTGCTCTGCAGTTGCGCTGCAGTTGTTGTTCAAACATCTATCTGCTGTAGTTATTTCATATCACAGCTGTATGTTTGACATGAAAAACATCTCCGCCGACACCAGCAGAATATTTGTTATTAATCTAAAACGGGTCAACACTGAAAACGCTCCAGCACCTTGCATCTGTGTACATAACATATTAAAGCTCTCACATGGACCACATGTTTGTCATCCAGCAGCAAACATTGTTACACCTCAAACAGACCCCAAATCAGCTGACAATTTAAAGCACGCTGCAGCTATATATTCCCTCTGTGAGGCCGACATCAGACTCTGTGTTTGCTTATTCGACCCTGTGACCAGATTCTGCTGATAGCGGTCGCGGCTGTTAAAATTCTGCAGTGCTCGCGGCTAACGCTCGACTCATCCCTTAAAACGCCCATTTATCATTCTGACTGCCATATGTCTCAGCAGTACAAGCCAACGGCAAGTCAGAAGCTGAATTCTGCTTTATTTCTCTAGCCACATTTCAGCAGTGCAAGTGGAGTTCTGTAGTGCTGCTGTTAACACTGTGGAGGATTGAGGAAGACTGAGTTGTGTTTAAAGGTGAGGATCAGTTAGTATCTAAGTGGAGAAAGACAGACGTTAACTTTAAATGAATCACACACTTACGGTTAATGAAAGCTGTGGCTGTTTATCCAACCGGCACCAGTCTGATCAGTACCTACTACGTAGGTTTTTTTACAACTAGAAACCATTACAATTTTTTTTTTTTTGCTAAAACAACTCTATACTTTTTAGATACTTGGTACCACAAGCAAAAACGAAATGTCTATGTTTGCCAAAATATGCTCACTCACAGTCGTCATAGTCATGATTGTCAAATACCTTGTTGTGAAGTTACGTTGACCTTTGACCGCCAAAAATGTATTTCGATCCTTCTTAAGTCCAAGTCATCGTTTTATGCTTTAATTTTAGAAATTTCCAGAGATTTCTCATAAAAGGTGCAAAATAACTTTTGAACGATGTGAGCATCAATGGCGCTTTTTTAAAAGTTCTCTTATATATACTTATATATACTTATCGTATACTCGCTCAGCAGTGTTGCTTAGTGTTGCATCACAGTTTAGAAAGCAGCAGTGATCTGCGGGATGCACAGACTTTTTCAAATCTTTGCTTTTATAGATTTGATTGTATCTCCAATCGGAATTTCTGACGCTGTGTTTTAAATCGACCATCAACCCAATCTAACGAACGCAGTCACACGCAAAGGTATTGCGCAATTACAAAAGGTCAAGTCCGTTGTACTGATGAGACAAACCAGCTCACAATGAAACAGACAAAGGCGCGAGAGGATTTTGTTTAATTAACTCGAGTGTTCTAATGATCATTACCATTAACCTGCAGTGCTGCGTAGCTTTTCCTGATGCCGAATAGTTAGCTGGTGTCCGTGTGCATGTGTGCTCTGCAGTTGCGACTGGTTCTGGATCCTGGACCTTCTGTTACAAACCCTCATGGGCACTACAACGCCTCAGGCGAACCGATGAGCACTCTGCATACCGGGTCCCGTCGCGCTGCAGCAGCCCAGCACCAGCCACCGTGCCGCACGCTGGCTTCCTCTGCTTCACCTGAGTTTTTGCCACGCATGCCTGGCAACCAAGGTGCATGTCAGCCTCTGATTGGACGGCTGAATGACCGGCATGGAGAGCCACCGATGTGATGATGGTATCCAATGAAATCAAACTGTTAGAGACCGAGCTCTTTCTTCCCAAACTAGGTGAATAGTTAAAATTATTTATACTGCAAATATCTTAAATCAACTATCACCTCGTGGACTGTAACTGTGACAGTAATGCTTATCATCCAGTCTATTTATGATAGCTGACATGAAAGCTGGGGGGGGGGCAGCAGGTGTATGGGCGATATGAAGCTTTTCTTGCTAAAGTTGGACACATAGATACTATCACAGGAGATGAGATATTCTCTGCGTAACATGAGTCTATTTTATGACTTGTTGGAGAAGTGCAGCCAGGCGACGTGTCATGCCGATAACTACTGAAGATGTCTCTAGACTGAAAGGTGTTTTTGGCAAAAATGTATATGAAATGGTTGGTTGTGAAGTATGTACAAAAAGAAAGTTTTACAAAACAAATATTGTGTTTAGTAGTAATAGTATTACGGCAACAGTGCAAATATATAAACAGGTGCTGCATCCTGGCTCTTGTCGTGGTTTCAGACACACACAGTTTAAGTAGAGTTACAGACTGTTGTTTTTGCACCAATGGGTTCCCAATAGAACACATCGTGCCTGGAAAACCGTTGTTGTTGTTCTGTCCCCGTCATTCCCATTTCGGTCTCCTCTCCTCTTCGCCACACTTCTCCCCTCCGTCACGCGCCCAGGCCCTGCTCACGCTTTGTGACGGCGTCCTCTGTCCGTGTCTTCGGTCCTCCCCTCCATCCTCCTCAACTGTGACGAGAGGAGCCTGCGTTTCTCCCTTCTCCTGCCTCTCTTTTGTCCCTCCCTGTCTCCCACCATTCCTGCTCCCAGGCTCCCAGCCGTCTCCCCTCCCTCCTCCCCCTCCCTCCCTGGGAGCTTCATTGTGAGTGCTTGGTTCAGCAGCCTCTCCTGCAGTATGCAGCCATGCCTCGCCTCCGCTGTGCAGCCCGAGCCAAGCGCAGTACGGCCTCGCATTCGATGCTCCGGGGAGGGGAAGGGAAGGGAGGCACTTCAGACTGCAGATACACGGCCAGGAAAACAAGACAGCGACGACGCTCCCATCTCACGCTACAGGCCGGGAGAATTCCGAACGCTCGCTGGCATCTTATTGATTTTGTTTCTTCGCGGATGAAACGCACTCATCCTGTCTGTCTGTGCTCCCGTCAGTCGTCTCATTCACATCCTGCGATTCGCTTGAAGTAAACAACAGACGTTTTGTGCTGAAAAAAACTGCTTATCCCGGCAATTTTCTGTGAAGCGGCATGACAGTAACATGTAGAGCTTTCAAGGGCCCAGGTATACATTGCTCTTTACAGCTGTTTTTACAGACTGGAGCAATTCATTGAACAACTGTGCTTTTGCCTGAATATATCGTTCCATAACACACAACACAAGGCAAGCGTTGCATTTGATCACACAGCTTTCCTAATGCCATGGTTACAGTCGATATCGCTTTCTAAAATAGATCACTGATGCAATGGTCTATTCTCTCAAGAGGGAGTACTTGATTACAGCACAAATCACTCATTTGTGCATCCAAATAACAAACTGGATCCATACATTCAGCCTGCAGCTTTAGCTGCCAACACCAATATGTTATGGGAGTGCATCAAGAGAAGGATGACACAAGTCAGGTTTTCAGCATTGGATTTACTCTGAAATCCTCTGTTGTTCCAATGTCCGACCCTTAGCGACTCTTAAGTCTCTTTACAGATGAGCTGCAAGGGGATTGGGGTTGAATCTAACACATGGCTTAAAGTATTGCGTTCAGCGTTCTGCAAAAGCAAATAAAAAGTGCATATTTAACTATGTGTCTCACTCTGCAGGCACATTTCTTTCTGTTTGTCTGTGTTGGTGAGCAATACTGCAGCCGGGGAGAATCAACTTTCATGCAGCAAGAATCTGATAAAAATAAGACTAAATTAATTAGCATTACTAATAGAGTTTCCAACAAGAAAGGCTTTTGGTTCATATCTATGGTCCAAACATTGCTATTAACCACGTGTGATTCAATGCCAAAAGTTATGATCATAAAAACAATAAGAAGCACTAGGGGTGGTGAATAAAACTAAATTCCATGAGAAAACATAATTCTGTTGTACTTAATTACTTGAATCAAGTACTACAGCGGTGATGTGAGAATCACATCCCTGTTCATGTCAACACATGCAGTACTACTTAAAATGTTGCTATTCTTTCACAAAGGCGACTGAGCTCTTCACTCAGACACACATTCATTTCTCTCATACAATCTCTCACCAAGTGGTCTATTTTCCATCATTGTTTGGTTATTCAGATCACAGTAACCCATACTCAGTCGGGATATACTTCTGGTAAAAAGTCCTGAACTTTTCACACGCACACCAGATATATGACTAGTGTTTAATCATTTGTCTGTGTTATTTGAAATTAATAATTCAAATTAATATTTTATTGCTACAAGACCAGCATTTATTTAACTCCTGTAGGAAATTTATCTTAACTGTGTTCATCCACATCACTGTTTTCTTAAAGAATCCAATTACATTTAGAACAAAACAATTAGACAACTATTCTAATAATCAGATGATTATAGGTTATTTCCTTCAAGTAAAAATGTTCCCTATAGCATCATCTTCTAAAGTTGTGAGATAATGCTGCTTTTATCTATTTAACATCCTTGTAAAAGGTACATGTTTTGGTTTTGGATTGTTGGTTGACCAAATCAAGTCATTTTTCACTAATACCTGACATGAACAGAACAAACAAATGATCAATTCATCAGGGAAATAATTGTTACAAAGTACAAAGTAATTGTTTCCTAATTCCTTCTTTCGTGGTTAATCGTCCCTACAATCCCACCATTATCTCAACCTGATACACTGCCTTATTTACTTACGTAACAAAGGATTAGTATACTGATGCTACTGTCTGCGAAATAAAATGGAATTAAAATTCAGGCATCATCCAGTGAACAAGATAACATTAGTCTGCTGCTGGCTATTTCCACTGATGAATCTCCTATCGGATAATCAAGCAGCCTACCGTGAAATCAATATCTATATCTATGAATATCTGCAGTCGCTTCTACAATAAATAATACAGATTGATAAACTGGAGATACTTTACTTTAGCCATTCAGCAGAATTACTGCAGAACTATTCACGCCACATGATTTGCCACGAGCTGATGATAAGGATGAAGAAAAGTATAAGTTGGATTTATTCATCTATCATATTACTCCCTTCAACCAGTGCAGAAACGCATGTTACAAGACGAAGCTTTGTTTAATTGTTGAGCGTGTTCCCTGCAGCACTCTCACAAGCATGGGAGTCTGCTCCTGAATAATTCAGTACCCAAGGTCACAGCGCTAAAAACCTCTCTTCTTTCCATCCTGGGCTGAGGAGAGTTTGTTGTGACTCCTTTGAAAAACCCTCACTGACGGCGCGGTTAAGAAAAAAATATATATATTTATATATATTAAATTACATGGGCATGCAGCAAACAGGTACGTGGAAGAATGTCAGATTGGACAACGGAAGAAGAAAATAATACAAGCATGTAGTTTGTGCTCACAAATAAGTGGTGAGTTCATGACACATCGCTGCATGGCCAACCAGCATAACAAGCTATGACTGCAGAATGCCCAAAACACATGTGGAGAAATTGCCTTTCCTCTGTGGATGCATCTAATTCAATCTGATGTTTGAAACCACACATGAGTAAATATCCTACCAAGCCCCCTCTGCATTACAAGACAAGTCTTAATGACAAAACCTCAAGAAATCACCTCCCTTAATATGTACCAAAATCACTTACTGCACCATGAAACAGAGGGGGGGGGGGGCACATTTATCCATAAATTGCTATTCATCAAGACTGTTTGTCTGAGAACCTGCTTTTTCCATCACTTCAGATCTGAGGATGGACCCACATTCCTGGTGAGGTAGCGGTGGTCTGCATAATGCACAAGGTGCGCAGCTGACATGTGAGTGGGAGGAGGCACAAACTCTGCATGTAGGCCCACGACGCCAGGCTCATGCAAGCCTGGTGTTTTGGAGAGCATCACCCCGTTTGCACCACCGCTGCGCTTCTAATCAAAAAGGCACATAGCTCACTTACTCTGCGTTTATTCACCCATAAGAGTTTGAATATGTGGACGTGGCTCTCAGAAATGCTGTACATTCCAAAGCCAGCTTGTTAAATAACAAAGAGGAGTAACCTGGGCATCATCCTGTTATGTGATGTTTTTAAGCTTATTGAAGGATGCCTGTGTGGATGGAGATGGAGAGCGGATGGACAACGTTTCATTTTTTCTTCAAAACTAAACTAATCAAAATACCTCCCACGATGCTACTAGTTGTTTATCAAACAACATCCACTGTGACGAACGTCTCACGGTGGGCTTTGCATTGCATTTGTATTTCTCTTCTCGACTCCAAGCCGAGGCATCGCTGGTGAACTTCATCAACCTTCGTTTCGGATCGACGGTCATCGTTCCAGCCCGCAGGCATCGCGTCCACATTGCTAAACGAACCCGGCCGGCCTTACCATTCCGTGCCAGCTGATGACGATCCCAGTCCGCTGACGGTTCCTCTCCTTCTCCTCTCTTTCTATTTTTTTCTTCTTCTTCTTCAAAACATCCCGACGAGGAACACTGCGGCGATCATAGCTGCGGGAGGCTGACTTTACGCGTTCATGAAGATGCCGAGCGGCGAAGGAAGCAGAGAGTCACAACAACAACAAAAAGACGACGAGGAATGGAAACGAAAAGGAGAGGTCCGCCAATGCTGAATCACTCACCACCTTGCAACCATTGTGCTGCAAGATGCTGGCTGTACCATTGTGGGTCCACGGCGGAGGGAGGGAGGAGGAAGGGGCGACCGGAGAAATTTGTTGCCATAGCAACCGAGCAGGGGCACGTCTGACGTCAGAGAGCGGGCATACAGAGGGAGAGAGAGAGAGAGATCACGTGGAGGCTGTTCGTGTGTGTGTGTGTGTGTGTGTGTGTGTGTGTGTGTGTGTGTGTGTGTGTGTGTGTGTGTGTGTGTGTGTGTGTGTGTCTGTGTGTGTGTGTGTGTGTGTGTGTGTGTGTGTCTGTGTGTGTGTGTGTGTGTGTCGAACAATATGATGCAAAAATGCAAAAAGCACGTTATTATAGCACATTTGTTATTAGGGAAAGTGTATGCATACAGCAACAAACACCACAACATGAATATAGAAACTTTTCATCGTTTTATGTTTATTGCAAACAAATTGTTAAAGTGCACAGAAGGTAAGTAATCAAATCATCCGTCCTATCTGGGATTCTGTTCAGATTAGCAGCAGAATGCTAATGCCAATGGCCCTTAAAGCCTCGGGTCACATCTGTATGAGCCCTGGTGTCCACTAATGCAAAATACAATTTTAAATATATATTTAAAGCTGCAATTTCAATTTTATGAATATATTTAGTCACTTCAAGAAGGGGGACCCGATAAATGTTTTAGCTGTGTTTTTCGTCTGCTGGAATAACGGGGTAAATAATGCTGACTTGGTCGGTCTGCACTCTATAAAATTCCCTGATTAAACGTGGAAGCTATTGGCCTGAAGAGGGCTCAAATGGAGCTGGTATTGAAATTCTAAAGTCGGGCTGCAAGGTTGACTGGCAGCCGCCAATAAGATATGTTCTGACCTCAGTTTAATGAAAATACTGAAATAACTCCTGATATTACAGACCTTTACAGCTTTGAAAACTCATTTAAATACGGTTTTAATGAATTGAGGCTTACTTCTGCTCCTCACTCACTGAATGTTTGAGTTGAGCAACTTTCCAATGAATTTGTCATGATGCATCTAAAATCCATGTGTGCAACTGTCTCTCCTTCAAGCTGATAATTAACATGATCCATGCTCCTATTAGCACTGCAGATTCCCACCTGGCCCAAAATCAAGAGGGAAATAACTTATATAACAGTATAGCCGGGCTAAGTTGATGAAAGTTAAAGGGGTAGCTTTTCTTCTGAGGTGGGGTTGTATAAGTAAGATATCCATACATAGTCGGCATATTTTTTCCTTTGGTAAACTGCAGTCACATGGTCCCACTTTGTAGAAACAGACAGCAGTACAAACACAGGAGCAGAGCGATGTACTGAGGTGGATGGGCGCTGCAGCAAAAGAAAATCTCTTACAGAATACAATTTAATCTCAATTTAATGCTGCTGCTGCTGCCGCAATATGACCTACATAAGCAAACCAAGCCATCATGCAGAAGATTTTTTACATAGTTATTTTGAATCACCTGATTGGATTCTGCAAAGAATCTGACCAAATGATGTAGGTTGACCGGTGGTGCCTTCAGCTCAAACTGCAGTGAGGCCTCAGGCAGCAACCAGACCCAGATCCGGCTTCACTGCCCCTCTGACATCAGACACCACGCTGCTGAAAACACAAAAATAAGCTGTATTTTAAAGGGAATCTGGTGCTCAGAAACACTACTACTACTTCTGCCAACAAGGGCGGACAAAATCAAGTCAAGATTTTAAGTTCCAACTAGCAGATTCGAAGGGGCCCTTGGGGCTTTGAAGATAGAATAGATGAGTTTCAGGTTCTATTCCTGCCTTGTTGCAATCCACCGTGGACTCTTTATCCATAATGCATCCATAACCAGAGCTACAAACATAATTATTATGAATCATCTCTAATGGCTTTTTGATTATGTGGTAAGTTTTTTGCTTAACCCCAATAGAACTAAGAACCTATATGAAGACCTCCCTGAACGTTTTAATGCTCTCCAGCTGGACCTAAAGGTAAAGCTCTGCAGTCAGCAAACCACATGCCTTCAATCCACCAGGTGCCCCACATTGCCAAGACTTGGAGAATAAGTAAAGCTCCTCTTTCAAGGAAGTGCAAATTGCCTGAGGAGGAATTAGAGACAAAACTGACAGAAATAGAAGGAAGAAGGAATTCCAAATTCAAAACCGCCTTAGTTGCTCTTATATAAGAAGTCCCTTTTCCAGGTCGGGCCTCTTTGGCTGCTGGTAATGAACAGAAATAAGAAGCTGTTGAGTACAAAGATAGAAAACTCTGTGGCAAAATTTTATTGGACAATAAAAAGTTTCAAAGCCAGAAGTAAAAAAAAGCCTGTAACTCAAACATTTTACATGTAAATTGCACAAGTAATTACTGCCAAGTAATCGGTTCAGCTCACATACCAGTGAGATGTAAAATAACTCTCAATTATTCTACTCCTTTATGTGGAAATGCCATGACCTGGAGATGAGGAGGTTTAAAATACCAAAGTGTTTTCATTCTATCACAATCACGTTATTGAGGCAAGAACATTCACAACATTTTTACCATTAACCCTGAAATGCTGTGGAATAGTGTCGCACACTATCACTATCTGCACGGCACGTCTCTAAAAACTCATGCTAAAGCCTCTGTCATCTAAGGTCTCTAGTAGGAATGTTCAGGCTACACCAGACGGATTAACTAAAAACTAGTTTTCGGTTCTTTGATTCCAGCCAGTGATCGGTGATAATAATAATGACAGGTGCAGGCAGGCATAACCAATAATCACCTTTTATATATGGCAGCTTGTGATGGCCACTAACATCCACTAGATGGCGCGAGGCAGATCATAAATGAGTCAGCTTTGAAGTGCCCCATGGGAAGGAAGTACTCAACAGTGAAATGCTTCCTGGCTGCCTACATGGCTCTCAAACATCTTTGATGTTGTGATGATGTGAAACCCTCGATACAGGCCAAGCTTGGTCTGCATCGAGTTTACAAACTGTCAGCTTCCCCTTTCCAGGAGGTGAAGGAAACATCACATGATACACAAACTGATTTTTTTCTGAATTTTCTGAATATTACCTTTTCGGATTTTCCTACTTTTGTATTCAGATTGTTCTCAATTTTGTACTGTTGCAGAGTAAGATACCCGCAGAGAAACCTATGCACACCCACATCTGCACCCCTATTCCATCTGAACTTTTTTTTTTGAAGTATTTGCGACAACATATTTTAGTTTACGCGAGCAAAAGTTGAACATCTAACGTGAAGATCAATTAACAGCCGTGACTGCAGGACTCCAAACCCACCGTGTGTACATTTTGCTTGCAGTTGCGTGTGCCGTTACCATGGAGACGGTTCAATGACAGTCCCCGAGCCGGGAGCCAATGGGCAGCCGTAGTAAGGTGTCTGGTTACCGGCGGACAGCCCACGCTAGCCGGGCTAAAGGAGGAGTTATTCCGCCCCGCAGCGGTTACGGTGAATCGGCTGTGGTGGAGGAGAGCTCAGCGCTGAGAGCCGCGGCCGTCAAACACGACTTCGGAGCACACCTTTCAAGACGATACGAGTGTTTTTTGTTTGTTTTTTACAGCGGCGGCTCGGATCCTATGTGGGTTTTTTTTTTTTACAGCGAGCTGAGGACGCGGTTGAGGACCTGTTGCTCGCCGCTTTTGTAAACCAAACTCTCCCGAAATGTTGCTTCGTGGACGGGATGGCGTCTGGTAGCCTCGAACACTTTCCTTCTTTTTTTATTCTTTGAAGTGTTTTTTTTAAATATATATATATATAGCTCTTCTCTTCGACCGGTAAGTTTTATTCGCCCACGACGCGACGGGGAAAAAAGTTAGCTTAACTTTTAACGCAACGTTAACTGTCTCTCCCCCGGGAAAAAAACGTACGAGGCGAGCCTGTTGTCGCGAGGCAATACGCTCAGCTAGCTCATTTAATGCTAGCGAACTGCCCCCCCCCCCCCTTTTTTTTTCCCCCTCGACATTTAACAAGTCTCGAGCTGAACGTGTAGCCATATTTTGTTTTAAACCTGCGGGTGTCTGACACGGGGGGAGCATCCCTGACCACACCGGCGGCTGTGTGAGTTTTTGGGGAGGGAGCGGAGAGACGCTCCTCCATTAAACACCAGGGCGTCTGGGCAGCTAACCGCCACCAGCACCGTCTGACTCATTTAGACTAAAAACGACCCAACGGTTTTTTGTCAACATGTCTTAAGTTTAACAAAGAGGCGTAATTACAGCGCAGCCCTGACCGTTTTATGGGGGCTGTAGGGGAGCCAGCGTGTACCCCCTTCATCACCATAGGAAAGCAGTTAAAGTTCGCGCAGAGCCAAAGGTCACGAGGGGTTTTGACTGTGCCATTCAAGCCCAAAGAGGAAGGTGGGGGAGTGGGGTTGAGCAGGGATGAGCATTCCCTTCTTGCGTGGTTGTGATGGAGATGGTGTGAGCATCATCATAGGAAAGAAATGGGGGAAAAATAGTCAGTGAGTTGTGTGTGGGATGGAAGAAGAAGGGGGGGGGGGCGCTGTGTGGAATGAGGTTTTGCACAACCGTGCTCTGCATGTCACGGTACTCATAGCAACCCTGTGATTAACAGAAATTGGGCGGATGAGGTCGAGCCCAAAATGAGATGTGGGGGCCGTTGGCCCGGAGCTGGGCAGATGGTCATGGAATAGTCATGGCTTTCTCTCTGGTTGGTCCTGACCCTGGCCGAGCTGAAAAATGGGGAAAAAAACCACTGGGTGGCTTTCGTTGGCGAGGGAAACCAGTCCATAAACGGAAGGTACCAGCCTACCTGGTTAAACGATCGGTGTCCATCAGCAACCCTGCCTTAAGCCCATTTTAAGATAATTTGGGCTAATTGACTAATGACCCAAACTGATTCTCTACTTCATTCTTCGTTTTTTAGTAAGGAAGACTACATCAAGAGAGCATTAAATTTGTAAACCTTCAGTTTGTCATTCTGATAGCAGATGGGAGCTGGTTTTAGTTTGCTGTACACATTTTGAAAACATCAGTCCTTACATCATCAGTCTTGGTCAAAAGATGTTGTGATCCAGGTCTTCCTAAACCAAGTGCATGTT